GACAGTCTTGAGGAAAGGCTGTAACAAACCATGCTTTTAAGAACATTTTTAATATGTATGAGTTCACTAAGGAGGATTTAACAGCAAAAGCCCATTGCTGCCATCTTTGCTTTCAAAGGTAATATGGTAGCGTGTACTTCGCTTTAGACCCCTGACTCCATTTCAGGGTAAGTGAGCATTTTTACCTTGCTAAAAGGAATAGGCTCAAATGCATTGTTAACTACTTAGAGTATGAGTGTCCTTGAGTGCTTCTTTGAAATGCTGCTTCTTGATGGAAGAGCAAGAGAGAGTCAGAAGAGACTGCTTAAGATGTGACTTTCAACTTATCTGAAGCAGTATAGCACAGTCTCACCAACTAACAGCTATTTTGGAGCTCCTTAACATTCTGGAGACCTAAATAAACTTTCTCAGCAGATTGAGTCAGATGAAGGCTGAGAAAAGATGGCAGAGTGAATATATGCAGTTCATCAATATATTGCAGATACTTAACCAAAGCAGATTGCAGCTTTTTCTTTTTTCCTAGAGCAGCCAGTTAATGTGTGGCCTTAGTAAAACTTGATTACTCTCTTCTATTCTTCTCAGTCAAAATCACTCAGGGGAGAGAGGAAAAAGTATGCTTGCAATTGATGCCTGTTTGTCGTATCCTTCAAAGAAGGAACAAAGATGTTTGTTTCAGAGCTCTGTTGATGAGATAAAGAAATCTCCATCAGAAGCTTTAGGTGGTGACTAAGTGACCTGTGATCTGTGATAGATAGGATGTTGGTACTAATCTTACTGACTTCCTGTTTAATAATAATGATTAACTCCACAATTTAAATCCAAGACTATTAACTCTGCCAATTTCAGCATAGGCCCAGAATTAAACAATAAGAGAAAAACTTGAATTATACTTGCATTGTAGTCACTCTCTAGGCAGGTATGATCTTCTCTATGACTGTCAGCCAGACTTCTGAGGTCTCATTAACCGTCTGTTTTCAATTGTATGTGCTGTCCTGATGTTTTAGATTTGTTTTGTTTTTCCCATTCTCCTTCTTCCAGAAGTACACACCAAATCACCACACTCCTTTCCCCTCAGACCTCGCGTTCCTGTCAGAACAAGTGGCTGCAGCCTGCGGGTTCCAGGGTTTCCAAGCCCAAGCAGGGATCCTGAACTACTATCACTTTGATTCTTCACTGGGAATTCATGTGGACGAGTCTGAACTAGACCATTCTCGGCCCCTTTTATCATTCAGGTGAGTACATTGTGATTGTTGTGGGAGGATTGGTGGATTTATTTTTTTTTCCTGTGGTTGCATAAGGTTACAGGAAGTTGGTGTGATTTAGTTTGCTAACTGGGTATATAATCTTCACTCTCTGAAGACCTGAATATTAGGAAGCTGTAGCACAATAGCATAGGTTTCTTGAAGACTGCTTGAATACCATGCATGTGGCATCTCTGTGGAAGAGCTCTTTTCACAGGGGACAGTTCTGTTTTAGAGTGGCAGACTGGCAATTCTGGTACTGATCAACAAGCATGAAATATCTCAGCAGAGCTTCAAACTGAGCAAGGTCACACAGTTTGTGAACCAAGGTTCACACTTTGCCTAACTTTAACCAGGCCTGTTGGTCTGCTTTCTGTGTTCTCGATACAAAGTCAAGATGAGGAATCCATCTGGGGTTTTGTTCTCGTGTGTTTTCTAAAGAAATGTAAGTGGTGCTAACGTTTTCCTATTGTACACACAATTTTCTGTAGCTCAATTTGTTTTCTCTTCTCTCTCCATCTTCAGTTTTGGGCAGTCCTCCATCTTTCTGCTTGGGGGCTTGAAGCGGGAGGAGGCCCCAACAGCCATGTTCATGCACAGTGGAGATATTATGGTGATGTCTGGCTTCAGCCGCTTGCTGCACCATGCTGTGCCCCGCGTCCTTCCCAACCCCGAAGGGACAGCTTTGCCTTCGTGCCTGGACCAAGCCCTTCCTTCAGACCTTCCTGCTGGCTCAGTCATTGAGCAGAGCTCTGAGGAGGACTGGCAGGTCTGTGCCAAGTACTTGCAGTCTTCCCGCATTAACATGACTATTCGGCAGGTGCTGGCTGAGGGTCAGAATTTTCCAGAGGAGTCTGGAACAGAAATAAAGGGTCAAGCACCCTCTGAAGACGGTTACCATCAGGAGAATGGCAGAGCCAAGAGACACAGAGCAAATACTGACAGCTGAGACCAGGAGATCGCGTTGGCATGGACTGAATGGGCAACCTCTGTCTGGAGCTGATCGTAGTCACCTGTCTGTGTGGGCAGTGAGGAACATCTGCAGAATCAGTGCTGTCCTTGGTGCTGTAAGAAATAAGCTGGGGGAGGGAGGGAGAGAGAGAACTTAATCAGAAAAGAGGGATACATTTAGGACTGGGTCAGGAGATGAACTCTGTTGAAGTTCTGTGGCAGACATTCATGTTTCAGACCTGTATATTGCACTATCAAGCTTGGTTCAGTGATGCTCATAAAATATTTTAAAATCATTGGGCAGAAAGTGCCTGCAAAAGGTACAATTGGCATGCATTAAAGAAGCCCATTGGCCTAGTAAAGCTCAACTGAAGTGCGTTAATGAGGGTGAGGGAGAGTAGGTTGCTGTGAAACCTACCTGCAGCACTTCAAAGAGAATTATCTCTACAGTAAAAACTGGTTCAGTGATCAGAAACTAGCAGCTCCCCTGAGCAACACATACTGTAAGCTTGCTGTAGTTCAGTGCTGTCCTTTTGCCTGCTTGCACCCCTCAGCTGCAGCAGAAACTGGTTTTGAGTGGATCTGGACTTCTTGCATATTTCAAATTTAAAGTGGAACTGATTGGGAGTGATATTTACTCAGAATACCTGGTAATTCCAAGTGGGTCTCCTCCCAACAGTTAGGATGTGGCTGAGCCCTACATCCCCATTCTTACAGAAGTGCCCCCTCTAAGTGCCTGCAGATTCTGGTCCTGCAGTCCCAAGCTGGTATCTTTAAGGAACAATGACTTGCAAGTTGAAGCAATGAAGTTGTAAATGGAGTACCTAAAAAAGAAATTAATCACTGACTATCTCTGTCACCCAAAGATAAATACAGTGAAACAAAGGCAAGAACTGGCTTTTGTGCCCATTCTCTTTAAGACTCAGACCTTCCTATCTGCTTTTTAATGCAATTTTAATTGTTGGTGTGGAATGTTCTATCCCTGGGGTATTTTGTTGCACTTTCCCAATGAATAAACTTACTCAGTTTTTAAATTAAAGATCTCTATCAGTTTTAGTCTTTTTTTTTTTTCCTTTTACTTTCCTTCCTGTTACTTATTTCAATGTATTGTTAATGCTGCTTGCATCCCTTGTGCTGTTCCCCTTCAGGCTTCTTTTGGATCTATTTATTGCCTCAGCCATCTGCCAGTGCTGGTGGAGAAGCCCTGCATCTCTGTCTGCAGGGCCACTTTGCTTATGGGCTGTTCGGGGTTTGCTGGGTAGTTTGAGGGGTGTTGCCTGTGGTATCAAGTCCAATTTAATATGTATGTGGTATATTTTCCTTCTGGTGTGTGTCTGATCTGTTTATGTCATTGCAGGTGAGTATTTGTGTATCTGCACAATTAATTCCTCTACATACAATACTGCAATGAGCTCCAGTAATTTAATGACTGAAATGTAATTAGATGTGGGGTTTAGTATCTCACTTCCATGTTCTATGCCAGAAGTGTCTCCTTGCTATATCTTAGGCTTTATATTGACAGCTGAGCCCTGGGAAAGTGAATACCGGTACAGAGAGGTTACAGTATGACCAGAAGGGAGTGTTGACCATCTGGGTAAGTCTCAGGAAAGAGCAGAACTCCTTTAGTGGCATCTGAAGAAGAGGATGGGGAGAGGAACACATTGTCTCTGCAACAATGAGCAGACAGGTTTTCTCTTGTTAACTCAGAGGGAAGCTAAAATCTACCTATTCCCTCAGCACTGAAGATGAGAGAAGACAGGATTCATGGAACCAGACAGCTATTAACCAAATGGCACTGGTTGCTTCATGTTGCAGGCTGAGGTTTAAGTATATTCATATTTCCAGTTCTTTGTCTTCAGTTCCCTATAAACATGCCAAATGCCAAACGTTTATTTATTTCAGTATGCAGTTGTTTCTGTGGTTCAAGGACAAGAACCCATACTGTTTATCCTCTGCAGTTTGAAATAGAAGGAAATGCTGCAAAACAGCAATAGCAATTGTTCAGGGGAAGGATCCATTTCATTGAAGCCTTGTGTTTAGACAGGGCTCAGCTGAGCATCTACTGAATTACTGATTTGCACAGAACCCTGTTATCTAATGCCACTAGGAGACATACACCTGATCTAATTCTGTACCAGGCACTCAGAAAATGAAGAATCCATGATCTAGAAGGGTGCTGACCAGAAATTACTCCCCCCTAAAAAAAAAAAGTAAAAAAGTCACCCATGTATGAAGAATAACAAGTGTAAGAAGGGAGAATTTCCTGAACTGCCAGTCTAACAGCACCGCTGATTCCACAACTATATTAGCAGCGAAGAGTGGAGTCCAACTGAGGAAACCCCTGACCTAGTCTACACAGTCACCAGTTTGTGACATTTGCACCTCACCTATTCATATTTGTGATTATATGGCAGAGTATAATCCCATAAGTATAATTTCCATAGCACTGATCATACCTCAGCTTTTTATATCTATAGATACTACAAAGTTTTACATCTGTTGATAGAGGTACATGCTGAGATACTGTAGCTCTTAGTTCTTGTCAAGGAGATGTGCTGCCCAAGGGCCACACGCACAAAACTGCATCGGTGCCATTGGCAGCAGGCTTCTAGGATGCCCTGCTGTGTGCAGCAGAGGGGAGAGAAAGAAGAGGTCATCTGGGCCAGCTCTGCAAGAGAATTTATGTAATGAGCTGATTACCAGAAGATAATGATGTGTTTAATCAAAGGCCACCTGGAAATGAAGCATGTTGTTTACCCCCTGTACTCTGTTATGTGATCTATACATAAACTAACTGTCCGACAGAATTTAAGCAGTTGCTAATTTATTTTTTTAGTACTCTAGAGTAAAGGAAAAATAAAATCCACAGTTACATCAGAATCAATGCACAGGGGGATGAATGCTGGAAGCAGAAGAGGAAACTGCCTGTACAAACTTAGCATTTCAGGCCTCCTGAGAGTACTCTGCTAGGGAAATTCAGTGTTACAAACTGGGCTGCGCAGTAGTGCCCAAGACAGATTTACTGCATGCCCTCTGCTTGCCCAGCAGGCAGTAACTTACTGGTAAAGCAGTCCCTAGAGCTGTGCCTGCTGCCTGGAAGATTCTGATCCCAGGTTTTTTTGAGAGCTTGTCATTTTTTTGCTTCTTGTTGTCACTGCTGTGCCTGCAGGTCCAGGTTGGAACTGGTTTGCATCTTGCAAAATTCAGACGAGCTTGGATTTGTCTCCATCTACTCACATAACCCATTCCCGTTCTCTGCATCACAGCTCAAGCAGGATAGATAAAACACAAAGAACAAACTCATTGGTGACAAGACATGTTCCCACTTAATTAAGATGCAAAATTGAGCTATAACTCAAGGTGCTTTAAGCATACTTCAGTTCTGATGAAAGTGTAAAAATTGCCCACATCTGAAGACGTTACCTCAAAAGGTTAACAGGTGTATGTGGACTGCAGAAATTAATGGTCCAGAAAAATAAGTTGCTGGAGGCCTCAGAAGACCCCTATATAAAAAGTCTTCCTTGTATTATCTCTGTGCAAAGAGACAGGTTTTAGCAGAAAGTGTTTGACAATGCCTCTGGATACCCTAATAACCAAATTTAGTTGAAAACAATCTGGTGCATGCTACAGATCTGGTACAAGAGGCACAAGGTGCTGTTGACCCAAGTTTAGCATGGTACAAAATTCAGCTATTTATATTTAGCAGATGATAATCACAAATAGCTTAACAAATACAAAGAATTGAACACTGACTACTGATACGGTCATGTTTACTTTAACGGAGTCCAGGTGAGCTCAGTGCCACACGTAAGTCAGAGCTTACCTCCTGCAGGCTGTACCTTTGTGTCACCTTCCAGTACCTGTAGCCAAGGGACCCCAGGAGCAGCAGCTGGAGGCACCTCTGCAGGTGTGCAGCCTGACCTCCTGCTAGCAATAGTGCTGGTGCCCACAGGCTACCTGTGCTATTAGAACCCTGATGGCAGAGCCTGCCATTCTTTCAGTAGCCTGCACCAGTGTTGCCCAGCTCACATGATGAAGAATTTTTATGTCCTGCCTGAGTTTCCAATCACAACTTAGAAACATTCCCTCTGCCTTTTTATTACTATCTATTACTACCAAGAGTTTGGTTCCACTGCCTTTATAACTCCCCTTCAAATAATTACAGTCTACAATTTGATCCCCCTCTCCTCCTCAATCTCTACGCCACACAAAGGGACCCCAAGATCCACAATATTTGCTCATAGATTGCCTGCCCTTGGCCCCTGACATGCCTCAATAACCCTTCTCTGCACCCCTTCCAGCTTCAGGTGGTATCCAGTCTCTCTGCTAGTGCTGGATTCTGCTACAAACAGGATGCCAACAATAAGTGGACCACTGAATCGTAACTCAAACCCACAAGATCCACCAGATCCATTTAAATCAACTGGATCCTAGGGTGTTTTGCTTTTGGGGTCGCAGCAGGGAGAGGAACATTCTGGAATATCAGTATAATTTTAGTCCAGCTAGCATCACCCGCATCCTGTTCCTGCTATTTTAAGTGTATGACCCATCTTAGGAAGACCTGACTGTGCACAGAAACTGAACAGGTTCATCAGTTACACGTCCATCTCCCCAGGACAGTGTCTGGAGTGTGGCAGGGAGTCAGATCTGATTTTCATTCACAGCCAGCACTTGTGCTCAGATAGGCATCATGGAAAATATCACCCACTTCCACTGCTCCAGGGAGAAGGGGAGAGGGGATGAAGTCTGTAGAAGTGCGGTATCTTTCCCTCTCTTCACCATAAAGGCTATGATTACTCCTCTGGATAGTCAAAGTTCTAACCCTGGGTAGGCATTTCCCATCTTATTTCTATTCCATCTCTGTCCTTTTCCTATGTTGCTGCTGAGCATCCTCTCCCACAAAATCCCACTGTGTAGTGGACTGTCTCCACTCTAATACCTGGGAATTTCTCTCTTCCTTTTTGTGCCTGTAAGAACAGAGCTTAGCAGCAGTGTGCAATGAACTGAATGGCCTAAAGGCTGAGCCCTCCTTCACCATCACCCGGTGTTTCTTTCCTTAACTCAAGTACTCAGTGCTGGTGGGTGAGCTAAGGAGGACGTTTGCTCACTATAGAGATTTTTCCAGTCTCTTTCATGTACACATCTCAACGTTCTTCCAAAAGATAGGTCAGAACCACTACACTCTGTAAAGTTAAGAGCAAGGCCAATTTACAGCAAAATGTGAAAAAAGAGAAACAGAAGTTAGGCACGATACAATGAAACATTCTCCAAATATTTTTGTGAAACTATAGAGAGAGTAAAAAGTGAGACAGACCAGAAGAGATACTGCTTCACTCTTCTTGGATGTTGGGAAGTCAGCGCTTTACACAAGCTTTTAGCTTCCTTCTAGGTGAATTTAAAACTCATTCTGTATTTACTGAGGAAGGCCAGAAGAATCAATAAAGGGCTTGGCTTTCTAGAGCTGATCTTCTCACCAATCATTTCTGTCTCTGTTCTGCACAAAGGGCTTAGATAAGAAGGTTTTGTTTTTGTTTTCTTTCTCCTTAATGGATAGGTTTCTTAATTAGGATGGGGGAAAAATTACTGCAATTTTGCTGTGGCAAATTAAAACCAAAATGAGGTAGCAAAGAGCATGGTCTGGAGGGGAGGGGGGCAATCAGAGACAGCTATTGATTTTGAAATGATGGAGGAGGCCAGAGCAGAACACACAGACTGGAAAGAAGACTCATCTTTCAAAGCACTGTTCTTGCTTAAAAACAATCAGTCCGGGCAAAGGTGTTGGTTGTTACTGAAACTTTGAAGTTAGCTTTGTTTTCAAACAGAATTTAAATTTTGGAAAGACTTGCTGGTTAGTAAGGGGATGGCTCCTTAGACACATCTTGAGATTGTGGAGCTAGGAATCACGGGATGGAGCTGAACATAAGTAAACCTGAGTGTCCAGAAACCCTTAGCAGTGGCGGTAACAACAAATTATTTGTAAATAGTTTCTTCCAAAGAAGAAAAAAAAACGCCATTGCTCACAGCCAAGTAGGCAGAGAAAAGGCAGCAATCATTGCTGAGCATGGCACAAGCACCAAGATCTAACACCCCTCTCACTCCCACTTGCTGCATAGCATGTCCCATCTTTTGTAGAACAGAGAAAGCTGATCTGGCATTGTCTTGCCTGTTGCAGTGACTGAGATCAAGCCTAGGTACAGCTTTTTGCCACAGCAGTCAGCACACTTTCATACACACTTTTTCCCTGTGGCTTTTCAGGCAGCATTCCTCTAAGACTAACGTCAGATGTTAATCTGACCTTTGTCAAATACAGCCAGCACCTGGAAAGACTCCGAGCAAATAGCGCTAATCTTGTAATAACTGGTTTGTCTGATTGTTCTCATTGCTGTGATGAAACCTGACTTTGCAAAAGCGCTGATTATCAGATGTCTGTGACACGTAGTCAGGAAGATTTTAGCCCCACTACTGCAAACAGGCTGTAGCCATTCTAAATCCAGCTGAATGCTGCATGCAAATTACCCATTTTTTCAGTCCAGAGAGCTGAAAACATGTTGCAGGTCCTTTCAAAGCAAGGGTTTTGTTCCACCATGTAGGAGACCCATCTTCTATTCTTTGCACTGATACTGATTGCTCTGTCAAGTCCTCATCCCAATGCTGGTGAAAAACTGGCATCTCTTTTGCTCCTCACACTGGGATGGCAGTTTGTAGGAGCTACTATGTCCTTGCTCACAACCCGTTTCTCCCCCTCACTCTTCCCTCCAAGCAGTGCCACAAGGACAACAAGATCTGCCGTTTTCCCACTACTTCCTCCACCTTTGTAGCCAAGGTGCTACCACGTCCCCTGTTCCCTGCCTGAATCCCAACCATCGGTAACACACAAGTAGCTGGCAGTGAGAACTCTTCACTCCTGACACCCTGTCTGCACTTGAGAACAGCCCAAGCCCACCTCTCCTGCAACAGTTTCAGGGACTGCTCCTGCTTTCGATGGCTGGATGTCAAACAGAAGTGTAGAGATAGCAACTCTAAGCCCTTCCTGGCCCAGTGCTGTCTGTGTGCTCCAGGAGACATCAGGGTTTGGCACGGTGCTTTGATGCTTCAGCACTTACCTGGGCTGAAAGTCAGTCTGCAGACATCTCCCTCCTCATCACAGATTTATGCAGCAAGGCAAGTCTTGCACAGTCTTATCGCTTCCATTGTCTGCTCCACTGTCTGTTCTTCCCTTCTCCTAGGACTAAATGATAGGAGAGAAGTCAAAGGAAAATAAGATCCCAGGTGAGCAAGCATACAGAAGTGAAGATATGGCATGCTCTTTCTGATCCCCGTGGCCTACTCACCCCTTCCTTTAAGCTGCAATGATCATTGCATACTTTTGAGGGAACAGCAGAGGCTGCTCGATGCTGAAGACTGCAATCCCTGTCTCCACAGATCTTTAACATCTCCTTTCCCTGGAAATCTCACTGGAAATGCTGTTTTTTTCAGGTGACTTGGAGCCTACCACAAAACCATGGGTCCCATCTGGAGAGTAAGTGCACAGGTACTCAGCGTTCAATATTATTGAAAATTATTTTCTGCAGCAGAAAAGCAGGAGAGAAAGAGAAACATTAGTCATAGAGCTGCTTAATTGAGATCTAATAGCCAAGGTCAGTGCTCAGCCAAGAATAGATAGCAGAAGCCTCCCATGGTGTATTTTTGTGATGAGATGTTCATAGCACACAGACTGATCTATTATTGGTTTTCACTATGAAAAATTTAGCTATCTCCTGGAATATGCTCAAATCTATTTTGCATCATTTCCTTGCTTTTTCATTTAAAAATATGTTTCCAATGAGACCTCATGACAGCGCAAATTAGCAAATCTCAGCTGAGTAGAGAGATTGCTTTACTTTCACTGAGTCGCAGCTCTCACTGCCTTTGCCAGAAGAGACAAGATGACAATACCTGTTTGTCTGTGTCTAGCAGGCTTTTTTTCTGTGCTTTAAACAAAAACCCTTAAAGGGAAAAGGCAGGTACTCAATGGAATATGCTACAATAGACACATCAGTGAGGAGCTTCTAGCTGTGTTCTGCATGTCTGCCAGGTTCCAGCACAGCAGAAGGGCCGTGATGACCTCACCTTCTGGCCTACAGCCCCTCTCTGGTCTCCTGTGGCACTTCAGCCTCCAGGACTGGGTGACCATCTACTTGGTTTGCTCTTTCCAGCTTCTGCATATGGGTCTGTGCAAGAAGCATCAGTGTTCTTCCTCAGCCCATGCATGTCCAAACATTTTAGGCTACAAAGCCCTTCTTTCTCATTTTTTTCTCCACCGACCACAAAGCAGCCAGCTCTCTAAACCTTTAACTGAGAGCACAGGAGGGAGATGATTAACGTGGCCTCACAGACCACCAAGTACTAAACCTAGAGAGCTGATGAAAAAATTAAGCCTTCTGAAGATGAAAGGAGTAAGGTCTCTGAAGATGAAAGGAATAAGGTCTCTGAGGAACGCGTTTTAGCTTCTCTGGTCCCTGGAAGATGCAGCTGTACTTTCTGTGCCAGGGGCTGCAGCACAGAACATGATCTGATCCAACTCAGTAGGAAGAGAAAACACCATCTGTGTGGGCACTAATAGCAAACGTGAATTCACTAGGTGCACGGAGGCATTACGCTCTGGTGCACAGTTGCTGTGTCCTTAGAGCCTTGCAGTACCTGTCGCTGGTGAGCTCCAAGCTCCTGGTGGTGCTGGAGTTGAAGTGGTTCACGGTGGAGCTCCCTGGAGCACCTTCTCTTGCAGTGTGGGTGCAGGGTCCTCCACCAGACAGCTCTGTACATGCACACCACGTGCCTAACAAGTGCCAACTGGCTCGCCTCACTGCTCACAAGGACACTGCATGGACAATAAAGTACCACAGCAATTCAAACCCCAGCCCTCCTGTCTTTGCACTGCACCAGCCACTAACTGTAGAACATACCCAGACAGCGTCCCCTGATGAAATGTAGAGGGGAAAAAAAAGAGACACCCCTGTGTTTACCACTCTCCCAGTCTGGAGAGGGGGCAGCACGGTCCCCATCCATTCTCAAAAGAGGGAGAGTGACCTGGGCCTCCCAGAACAACCCACAGACATTACTGCTTGGGAGCCTGGCATCTGGCAGGGAGAGGAGAGCAGAGTGTGGTCACCATGGCAATGCTTCGCCTCATTTCACTGCCAAGTAACCTCTTGTGTCCTTACACGCAGCCATTCCCACACAGCTGCACAGCACAGGCAGCCACACGCAGGGCAGCCCCCAGCCCACAGCCACCCCACACGGGGCACGGACGTCCCCTGCTGGGCAGCATTCCCCCCATAGGATGCACACAACAGGCATGTGCTGAGCCCTGCACATTCCTTCAGCTCTCTCTCACTCGTATCTCCTGTGCCTTTAGATCCCAGCCAGACTCGCAGTCCCTGCTCCTGCTGCAGGAGCTGTAGGTCCTGCTGCTGTGCAGGAATATGAGGTTTTAAAAGCACAAAAATCAACACGTGCCCAGCCAGCTGCCAAAAGATGCACACTTTTGCACAGCCTTGCCACAGCACCTGGGTACAGCTCTCATGCAGTTTATTCTTGGATGTGTTTTGCTTTGATTCTGTGGCTTGAACAAGGAATACATTGAGATTTGTCTCATTCACTTTCCTCTGTTTCTGCTTCTAAGGAGAAAACGTCCCTGAGAAACAAATCTATAACGAGACCGTGTGCCCCTCAGCAGTACAAGCTCATGGGAAGCTGGTGGTCAGGTCAGGTGGTGCTCCTCACACTTCTTGGCAGATAACTATAGGAAATCAATCTCTGTTTCTCTCTTCAATCTCTCTTCTGTTTCTCCTCGAAGCACCCTGTGGGTCCCTGTGGCTCAGCTCCTTGCTGATAGCAGGGAAGCAAAAGGACAGAACAGCCACAACTGAGCTCACAGCACAGCAGGAGCACAGTAGAAAGGAGCCATGAGCTGTGTCCCTAACCCCTTTGTTGTGCAACAGCCAGGTGTCACTCCGTATCAAGCGGCTCAAACTCAGATCTCATTTACACCACCAGGCACAGCCTGGAGACCTCTCCACAGCTCCCACTGTCCCTGAGCGTTCCCCAGTTCTTCCAGGAGGCGCTGGCATGGTTAGAGGATGGGCAGGGTTACTGTGGTGGGCACAGACCACCCCTCACCGAGGCCAGGTTGCAAGAGAAACCCCTCAGCCATACACACGTGACAGCTCCAGCTCAAAGGGCCCTGCACAGCCAGCAGGCACGGCCTTGCTGGAGCCTGAAGTTCCCACCTCACACCGTAGCGGTGTCCCTGTGGCTGGCCTCTGGCACCTCCAGGAGCTCAGGCCTTGCTGTGAGCCCTGCACAGGAGGTGGGAGCCGGGCAGGGTCCTGCTGCCTGCAGAGCCTGCAGTGGCCGAGCTGGGATTGCTCCCGCACGCAGTGAAGGCGCCTAATGCCTGAGCACACACTTCCCTCTTATGGCCACGCCTGATACAGCACCCGCTCAGGCCTGCAGCAGCTTCACTGGGGTTTAGCCATGTCTTCTGTCAACTTGTCTACCTCCCTTCATCCAGGTTTTTCTAAATAGGAAAGGGAAGAGAAAGGAAACCTGAAAAACTGTGCTCAGTACCTGAACGGGGACAAACTGCTCCTTCCTTCATTCTTTCTCCATGCTGAGGTTTGGTCACTGCTCACGTGCCAGTGTGCTGTCCTTGCCATCTCTCTCTCCTCTGTAGGATGCTCTCTTCTCACGTGCCACCTTTGTAACAGCATCAGAAAGGGATGAAATTAAAACTAACAACAAAGACATCTTTTCTAGGGAACACTATGGCCTTACATACCCTCTTTCTCTGCTCAGTGGACAAAATACCTTGTCCCAGCTCCTGGACAATAAACACATGATGCTTGCTGCCACTAATTCCTTGGCTGATGAAGCTCTCTGCTAGACCAACTGACTTATCTGGCCACCCCACTGTTCGTGTCAGCCTCGGCTACCCACCCTGCTGCTCTACAGCCCCTGTGGCAGCTCGTCAGTGCAAACGGCCTGCGAGAGGAGCTGCGGCTTATTTCCCTTCAGCCAACGCATGTCCAAAGGTCAGTAACGCTGCATGCCTCTTCCTACAGACTTGTACCAAGTGCTCAGGGTGTTCCTAGCTAACCAGAACTATTAATGCCGGTATCTTCACAGTCAGAAACCGGGGGCTAAAGGGACAAAGAGTTGAAGCAGAGGGGCAGGGCTCAGGCAGCCCAGGGTAGCAGCTACACCAGAGAAGGCCACAGCACAGGACAAGCATCCTGTGGTTCCCATATGTGCTGCAACCACGGGGCTGCAGCAGTCAGGGGCTCTTCACACGGGGACCAGACACGGCCACCGAAGTGACACCGTATGGAACAGTCTCTTCTGCTCCCCCATCCATACTGCCAGTGGCCTACAGGGGCTTTTCATTCTGCTCTTCACACAGGAAAAGGTGAATAAGGGGGAACCTGGCCAGACTCCTGCAGTACCAACAACATTGTCAGAAGAAGCAGAAACCGCTGTGGTCCTCCTTGAAGTCAGCCCTAACAGTCTGGTCTAGCTTCTGCCAGGCTCAGTGCCTTGAACCACCTCTCAAAGCGCTCTGCAGCTATTGATAAAACGAGGCCACATCTGCTCTGAGCTCGTTTGCCAGGGTACTAATGGGAGGAGTGTTTGGGGTCTCTTCCACATAGCAGAAAGTCTTAGGTACAGGCCCTCAGAAGTGCCTAAAAAGAAGTTAGGAATTAAAATGTCATGGGGATCTGTGCTCTAATGAGAATGCAGTTATATTGGTAGTGAATGTTTTTTGCTGATATAGCTGACAGTGCTCGGAAAAGTTCTGTTCAAAAAAAAGAGAAAAAAGAGCCCTATTCTGCTGACATAAGCTGCCTGCACATAAGGAGGGCTTCACTGGTACAACTCTGCTGCTACAGCGATATCACACACATTTACATGTAAATTAGGGCTTTGTTTATACTGCACAGATGCAGCCTTTCACTGCATCCTGGATGGGGAGGGTAATAGTCTCGCTATCCTCATTTTAGGAACTAAGAAAGCAATGCATCAAAAAAAAATAAAAAGGAAAAAAAAAAAAAAGGCTCGGGTTCAGTATCACCCTACATGGATGGCAGAAAAGACACAGAACGTGGTCGTTGCCTACACAAACAGGACCTTCTTCACTGCTAGAGCTGGGGAGACAAGTGAGCACGTCATGAAATAAGAACCCCCAACACGCCGAGTACACAGGGTCAAATCCCTGATGTGTTGGAGCTGGGGGAGGCACGAATGAACTCTCCAGAGAGCCCTGAACCTGACGGGAGCCTGAGGCCTGTTTAGATGCAGGAAGCACTGTCGGCAAGGAAATGAAGCTGAGACCTAAGCAAAGTTTCTAAAACAGCTCTTCACCACTCACCAAACTGAGCAGCAACAGGCACGAGTGACAATGAAAGTCCACAGAGGAGGAACACAAAAGCTGAAGCAGTACAAGTGGTTAACAACGTATCACAGGAACCACATATGAGACCAGAAGCTGCTGAAATTACCCTGCTTCCAACCACTATTTCCCAAGTATCTGTGCACTTAAATCACCTCCATTCTGCCACTGCTTCTGTATCTTGGCCACAAACTCTCTCAGGCTATATTTCCTTTAACAAAACCAACAAAAGCCAAGAATGATGATAAAGTTGTAGATTCCATCTCAGCCATTCATTCCCAAAGCTGCTTCTCCTGCTCTGTTAAACCCCAGAGCTCGCCATTTTTGCTAGGATAGTTTTAAACCAGAGCAACTTCTCTCAGTGGTGAATCCAAGGGCTCGTGGAGCTGCAGCCTTTGTTGGCCCTACAATGCCAGTAAGTGACCTGAGAGAAGACACACCACCACATGTTCCCACTGGGTTGGCATAAGAAAGATTCAGACCTAAGTCTCCAGAAGAAGCAGGCGTTGCCAAGGGTTGGGTGAAACGTAGTGAAAGTGGGTGGATGCTACTGCCGGCCTAAAGGTAGCTGTGACAAACTGCCCGGCTCCGTTATGGAGGATCGTCAGTCTCCGTTCCAAAACACTTCCCAAGTCACTGCCCAAAGGAACTTTCTGAGCTATTCTCAATACCATTTTCTCAATACTATTTTTTACAGAGTCTTGAGGATAAGAAACATGAGGAAAGACAGATAAAGCACAGAGAAGAAGGCTCTAAACATGGTTAGGACAACCTTGGCAGTCAGCCTCAATTGAAGCCTAGAGGATAAACAAGTTTGGTACAGTTATCTACTTCTTTCTTAACAGAGGGATTAAAGCTGTACGTATCAGAAGGAATAATAACTGCAGGTGGTTAAGTTAGACTGTTGCTAATCCCTGTTAACTCACTGGATTCCCTCCCATGCCCTGTTTTGCTGGCCAACACCCTGATCCTCCATCCCACCCCCTCCTACATCTCTGTTTTCCTCTGGCTCATCAGACCAGCCTTTATACACATCTCTCAGTACCTACATCCTCTCAGGCCTCTTGCGTCTCCGATCGCAAATCTCCCACTCTGACACCTTCCCCATTTCACCACAGTAACATTGTACAAGCCCGGCTGGTTTCTCCAGGCAGACACACTGAACTGCAAACACTTCACCACGATTACAAATTTTGGTCCAAATCAGTGTGCCCACATCACCCAAATCAGAGAATCCTTGAATGGGTTCAATCAAGGCTTTGATAGGAAAAAAAAAAAAAAAAAAGAAGAGAGAGAGGCAGAGAGAGCGAGAAAAAAGAATAGCCTGGACAGAGTCTTTTTTTTAGCATTACATAGATTTAGAGCTTAATTTATTTCCAGATGATATTATTTATTTTAATAATATTATTCTCTCAGAGCCAGTGAGGTAAAACACAAGCTGTGGTGGCCCTGGAACTGTGGCATTCACTGCAGAAGGCGTTAAGGACAGGGAAGGCCTCTCCTGGAACAGAATCATAACTCCTAGCTTAACTAAATCTAAACCAACTACCTGCATTGTTCAAAAAAGAAAAAAAACTGTACCTGTCTCCCCTTGCCTCCACCAGAAGGAAGCAATCTGCCACAGCCATTCAACATTTACTTAAGCTGAGGACAGAAGGCAGTTACTGGAACACTAGCCAACCTTCCACACAAGCATCATTTCGTCCTATGAGCTGCTCCAAGGCCTCTCCAGCTTCCCATCAAGTTTGGCTAAGCGCTGGTCAAATTCTCCAGGGACACTGTTACAGCTTTGTGTTTTCTTCAAGTGCTATTTAATTAGCTATGAGCTCCTGAAAGAGCTTTCTGCATTTCTACTAATTCTTCTGTGGTTCAGGCAGGCATTCTGCCATTCAGACCCAAGCTAAAATGCAGGGCTCTCCTAGAGTTATTTCCCTGCTCAGTCCCTGAAGTCTCAGTGCTAAGTGACTGTAACTGTGGGGAAAAAAATATGGAAGCAATACTCACCTCACAGCACAGCATAGGTCTGCCCAAACTGTAGCTTTTTCAATTACACCTTCAACAATCAGTTCATGCTCACTTGAGCCTATACCTGGAGGCTGCAGACTGGTCCCTCAGAGCAGCCCACCTGCTATTAACTGCCTCAAATGCAAGGGCTGAGTCACAGCTGTCTGCATGGCAACTGTAAAAGTCAAAGATTTAGGCTTATTTCTGACTATAGCCACCTTGAGACATTCCAGAGAGATTCCCTACACAGCTAGCATCATTCACGTGCCCACCTTTGTCTCAGTTGTCAACTCTCTCCATTCTCAGAAGAAATTATTCCCCTTGGTCACAAGCTCTGATTATCTCTACTCACTGTAGAAGACCCATGTTCTGTCTGTTTCAGACAGAAAATTTCCCTGCTACCTCTCTCTGTCCCACTGGTCACCCAATTGCTCCTTCCTGAGCTCGCCTTCTGCTGTCTCCAAAGTTCATGACTCTGCTCTGTGATCCCCAAAACCCACAGTTGGTTAGCAACAGTACGCATTGACTCATGTCAGTGATGTAAGCTCTCTGTCGATATGAGCCTGATGTGCAGCAATCGCTGCCTGTCCGACCTGTTACTTACGGTCTGCTATTCCCTTCGACTCATTTCATTTTTTGATACAGTTCCTTGCCTCATTCAGTTGGCTGAGTAAAGCTGTTTGCTCTGCCAGCTCATAGGAATAGTATTGTTGAGACCTAAAAGGAAAATCAGAAGTTGAATTTGTTGTTCTGAGTTTCTTTGGACCCTCTGTTGTGCAGACACGTAGACGAGAGAGACAAGCTGCTCACACAGGTATCTCATGTGTCCCGCTGCGCCACGTCAGAGCTGTCCAGGTGACACCAGGTCTCTGGGATGTGTTTGTGGCAGCCCCAGGCTGGGACCTGTCTCCATGGGTATCCCAGACTCTCCTGTCACTACAACCCCAGGGTGAGAGCGGCTTTCCCTGCCCCACTCTGTGCCAGGGGGGCAGGTGTCCCTCAAGCACCTACACGTGGAAGGGATCTGGGCTCTAACTGAACAGATAATGTGGCACTGAGATCCAGTGCTGGGCAGCTGAAGCAGCTTATCTTCTAAAAACAGGGCATCAGCAGATGAAGCTCCTGCATAAACGGCTGGGCAGGGGCACCCTGTGAGCCTTGGCTTGTGGACCACCTGCCCCGTGGTGCAGGCTGCTCAGTACAATTCAATCTGCTCCAAAAGGAGAGGTGCCGTGAAGAAAATACCTGCAGCTGACCATGGCATCAGGGGAAAAATCCTTCAAAAATGTTCTGTAGTACGTAGTTCCCCTGTACACTTGTCTCTCATTTGCTCACTTATTTTCTTTTTTCATTCATTATCTGCTTTTCATTTCCTCTGAAGTAATTTCTACTCCACAGAAACTCTCCCCTCCTTGTCCAGAAAAAACTCAGCAGCAAGAGCAGTCCATGAGCTTCTCCACCAGCACTAGTCACCGCGCCTGCACTGAAGCAAGTCCACTTGCACAAGCACCCAAACTCTGAGCACAGGCAATTGCTCCTTTGATCCCCACGTCCTCCCTAGCAGCTCCAGTCTTCCCCATGCTCCTGTCTTGTAACACGAGAGGGGACATGGCCCATCCCATCTCAGCCGACAGCTCTGTCTGGCTGCACACCGAAACCAGGTGAAGAAAGAATGTTTCTCAGGCAAGCCCAAACCTGCTTTTGTGGCAGTCAAGATACGGGAGTGGCCGCAGACAGCAAGAAAAGGAGTGGGGCCTCACACAGCTCTAACCCTACCTGGTCCCACACCCTGCCTGGACTTGTTACCCCGAGCCTGCATTTGGACCCTCATTACAGAAAGATCTCTTCTCCATAGGCAATTTGGAGATATGAAGTGTATAGGACATGTGCTGCTGCCCACTAATAGGCTGAAGCCAGCCACAAAGCTCACTCAAGTCTTCCTGAGGAAAGAAAAATGAATGCCTCCTTCATGGAAGTTAATTCATTTTTCCTAGGAGCCTTGTGTTCATATTGAATTTGCACTGAGATTCATGAGAGAGGCCCCAAGCTGTGACTATATCATACTGAAATGTATCAATCAATAAAAGCAAATCAGAGAGGAAAGGACGATAGCATTCTCTCAAATTCACCTGCCTGCCATTGTGTTCACCGAGATTTGTTCCAGGCGACGTTCTAGGAACCACCACAGCCCTTCCCTGCCAATTACACCCGAGGAACCAAAGGTCGAGCCGCCACCTCTTCAGCACGCGGGGAACCGCCCGGGGCTGGCTTCCTCGTCCTCAGCGCTGGGGGAAGAGGAGGGTAAGCGCCATCTCCCCCCGCCACTCCCTGCGCTGCCCAGAGCCTGGTCAGCCCGCACAGGGGGCAGGGCACACCCGCGCTTTGGGCTCTCCTCCCTCTGGCATGCCCTGCGCGTCGTGTGCTAACTAAACTCACTAAAACGGGCAGGAATCACCCCAAACCCAACGTGGCTTTTAGCACAACCAGCGCTGGCCTCCCCGGCCACACAGGGGCCGCCCCCAAGCTCCCGGGGGTGCCGGCGGGGCAGGGCGGGCCCTCAGCACAGCGCCAACCCCGCTGCCTCAGACGGGGCCTCAACTTGATCCTGGCAGGCCCGGAACGACCCCGGGCTCAGGCCCGGGCCCTTGACAGCAGGCAGCGGGCGGGTGTTCGGCCTGACAGACACCGGCCTGACAGACAGGCTGACGGACGGACGGACGGACGGACTGACAGACGGACCGACTGACGGACGCCCCGCCCCGCCCGGCCTCGCGGCCGTTGTGGCACCTCACGCGCCGCCGCCGCCCAACGCCCAGCCCCGCCCCGCCCCGCCTCCCGCCCATTGGCTGCCGCCCTGCTCCTCCCTCCTCCCATTGGACAGAGCCCTCTTCCCGCTCCCGCCCCCTCCCTCCGCTACCGTGCCGCGATTGGCCAGCTCGTCCCCTTCCCTCCGTTCCCGGTTCCGTCTCCACCAGCTGATTGGGCAGCGCTCGCCCTCCTGGCCCCGCCCCCTCGCCGAGGCGGGCCGCACCCTTTCCCCCTCCTCCCCCTCCCATCTGATCCCCGCGCGGCTCCTCATTGGCCCGCTCCGCGCCGGCCCCGCCCCCTCGCGGCGAGCCCCGCGCGCTTTGCCCCGCCTCCCTCTCCAAGCCCCGCCCCTCACGTGACGCCCCCGCCGCTGATTGGCCGAGGCGGCGGCCGCTCGCGCTTCCGGTGCGGCGCGGCGCGGCGGGGCCGGCCAGTGGGCGGGCGGGGCGGTGGCGGCTGCGGGAGCTCCGCGCGCGGCGGCGGCGGCAGCAGGAGGAGGAAGAGGAGGAAGAGGAGCAGCAGCAGGCGGCATGGAGCGGCCCGGGCGGGCGGCGCTGGGCGCTCAGCCCCGCGCTAACGGCTGCGGCGCGGCTCACGGGGCGCTCCGCAACGGCTTCGTGCGGGGCCTGCCCGGCACGCAGGTGGGTGCGGCACCGGGGGCAGCACGGGGGGGGGGGGGCGCTGCGTGCCCTGAGCCGCTGCTCGGTGCCCTAAGGGGAGAGGGCAGCCCGCTGCCCGGCAGAGCTGCACGGGGCTGGGTTTGTCCTGAGAGCAGTGAGATCCAGCAGGGGCTGGGAGAGGAGCAGCGTGGGGTTCACCATACAGGCACTATTTCAATGCTGAGCTCAACAGCAGCTCTTTCTTCTCCTTCCCTGGGAAGCCCTGCGCCCCAATGGCTTGGGTTCTGCAAGCTGACTCATCCCTGTAGGCACTGACATGCAGCGAGTACAGCACCCGCTGTGGGCACCGCTGTTAGAGCAGGTCCAAGGACCAGCCAGCAGTTAACTGTGGGGTATGGGATAAAAGTGAGTGACTTCTTTCCCAGTCCTTGCACAGTTAAGGAATTGCATGGTTAGGAAAAGGAGCAACCTGAGAGTGGGCTCAGGACTGTCACAGTGCCACACAGCACCCAGCACACCGCGTGGGGTCAGGGCCTGGCACCCCAAGGGGCAGTGTCCTGGCAGGAGGAAGTGAGCTCAGCCAGGAGAAGGAAAGGCAAGCACAACAACAATGAAGTTAGCTCTCCAAACCGTGCGTGATTCTGCTCTTTCTGTCCTGGGCTGCTGGAGAAATGCTGCTTGGGATCTATCGAGGCACCTGTGGGAATAATTGAGTGAAGGCAAAATTGCTGTTTCTTCCTGCAGTGCAATATTAGACTGGAATGTGTTTCTCCAATGCAGTGTTTTGTTCTGAAACAACAGATATTTATTCAGCAAAGTCTTAAAAAATACTAAATTCCTCCTTAGAACAGGGAGACTGGGGCATATTGAACAGGACAAGTTGCCCTTATTCTCCAGGATAACTTACAGCAATCTGCCCGTTACTGTGAACAGGATTTCAGCAATGTGTTTTTTCAGACATCCTAATTGAGCTTCTCCTGGTAGAATGGCTTCTATTACACTTGTAGAACTTGGAGAAGAAATAATCTTAAACCAAGCAAGTAGTTGGAACATAGGATTTAGTTTGAAGTTCTTATTTTCTGTTGTGCACGCTGTCTCCAGGTCAGTCACGTAGGAGCCGGAGCGATACAAACAACTTGTAAATTCCTTGATGATTCTGGAAGGTCTTGGAGTGCTCTGCTGGAGCAGGCTCCAGATAGCTGATTGTACACGTCCTTTAGTAAACAGCTCCATACTACTTCCTCAGGAAGGGAAGGAACAGTTTGGTTTAAAGAGGGGAGGAGGACGGAGTTGCTTTCCTTTAAAGCTGTTACAAGTCCTGAATTTTCACAGCTATTCAAGACATCAGCAGTGGATTTTTTTTCCTGAAAACTTTGGTGTGTACATACTGAAAACAGCTTTCTCTGTCCTGTGATCTGTGTGTGCACTTCTTAAGAGCACAGGCTGATTACTTACAGGCTCATCTCCTGAGATGATTCGGGGGCAGTGGAATGCTGGCTTCCTCCTGGTTTTGTGGAGGCTTTTGGCTGGTGTCGGGCTGAGCGTGACCTCTCTGGGAGAATGTGCTTCTGGAGCTGCCTGCAACAAATACGGGAAGTTTTTCTCATTACAGGGAGTTAATGACAGCAGCGATGTGAATAAACCTTACTTAAGATGGTTATGATAAGATAACAATTTTGATTAACTGCCCTGTCCACTAATGTAAAAAAGGACTGGAGTACAGAATTGTGTGTTTTTTTTTTCCAAGTCTCTGTGCAAGTATAAATTGCAAGTTCTTGTGACGGGAAAAAAAAAGCCTTGTATCTTAACTAAATCTCAACCTTATTCACAAGGAAGTGAAACCGCACTGAGTACTGGGTCTGGTTTTAAGCTCCCTAGAAAGGCAATGACATTATCTGCGTGAGCCTCTGAATCCACTGGGGGACCGGCAAGAAGCTGAGGAGGCTGGAGCACGTGAGGAGAGGCTGAGAGAGCCTGGTTTGCTTGGCCTCAGGAGGAGAAGGTTCAACTGGTTGGTCAAGGGTACGGAGAAGATGGTGCTAGGCTTGCCTTGGAGTTGTGTGGCAATGGGATGAGAACCAACAGGTGTCTTCGGGAAGGATGGGAAACTTCTACTAGATAGGAGAACAAATAATTTTTCCATGAAAGCAGGAAAATACTGGAAGAAGTTCTGCAGAGAGGTGGTGGACTGTCCATCCTTGGAGGTGTTCAGGTCTAGGTTGGATGTGGCCCTCAACAACCTGCTTGGAGCTGGGGGCTGGACAAGGGGGCCCCTGGAGGTCCTTCCCAACCTGGGTTATTCCATGATAGCATGGATAAATGAGTGGATTGCAGGAGAGTGTGCCAAAGTTTAGACATAATATTTAATCCTTGAACCCCTGTAAAAATGTGTGCCTTAGAGATTTTAGCCTAAGGCCAAAGGCTGAGGCTTGCGTCAGGCCTGAAGACAGAAATTACTACTTTCTGCCTCCTGCTTGGCTATTTGATTGACTGCGAGTATTGCGTCAGTAACAGAAAACTGAATTGAGTAGAAAATTGGCTGACCTAGAAAAAACTGTGACCTCCTTCAGATGGTTTTAATTGATAAAACCATGTTCCTGAAAAAGCCTGCCTGTGCATGAGGATACTTCTCTAATACCAAATTTAATTACAAAAGGCCGAGCCTTTGTGAAAGGACTAGCTGCACAATATTTATCTGGCTAAATGAAAATTACAAGCCATCATATTAAATTAGTTGATGTAGTGTCATTGTCAAATGTGTTTGAAAATTTGTCTATCTGTCCTGATATAAGAACCAACACTTGTGCTAGCTGCTGATGTGGTTGGCTTCTCTTACATTTGTGTGTGTTACTGGGAAGCCAGTTTGGATAAAATGTTAAAATCTTTCCATTATGTTGGGACTGCCATTTCAAATTAAGCTAGTGATAAGCCTTAAATGGTAAAATAAATATGTAAATTCGCTTTTTGTTAGTATACCTACTTGAGTGATGTCATCATGTAATACATTGTATTTTCCTGTCCTAATTGTACAGCAAAAGCTATTTATTTTCTTAAATGTCACGCTTTCAAATTGTTGACCAAAAGACTAAAGCTCTGTCTTAGTTATCTACTGACGTTTCTCTAGTAGGAGTGTAAAACACTGATAGCCTTGTTGAAGCTGGGCACATAACTACTGACCTTCATTAAGGCATCACTCCTAGAAAAAAAAATTATGGTTAGCTGAAAAGTGCAGCCTTGAAGACTGCTTATAGTTGAAGAAACAGGAGCTTAAAACATGGCACTTGCTGAACTTTTCATTTTTGGAGAAAATAAATAATAATAAAAAATCAACAAAGAAGTAAGAGTAAGTCTTAAAGTACTTTAAGAACACTTTCAGAGGTACCTGACAGCCTATGGCTTGGTCTATTAGTGAACCACTGGACTTCTGTCTTTGAAAAACTTCATTGTAAACTGCACGCTTCAAACAAAAACATTCAGTCATTATCAACATGCTGTACATCTCAAATCAATTGAGCTGAGGTAACATATTAGTACTAAGGTAATTGTATCATTAACTCATTAAAAGAAAAAAATGCATTTAAGCTGAACATTTATGAAGGTTGTTCCTGTCTGTGTGGATGTGGCAAGTACATCTTAGTTATCAAAAGAGTGAGGAAGTTGTTGGGAATCAATATTTGCGAGCCAAAATAACTTGTTAATACCTGCCAACAAGAACAAATATTTAATTAGGAGTACACCAGAATGGTGAAGTCTGTTCTGTAAAGCAAGTTTCCCTCCCGGGACTTTATTTGAAGGGTTAAAATGTGTTGCAGAGCAGTGCCTTCTAATTTTGGTAGCGAATACATTTTAGTGTTTTTACCCGTGCAGCAGTTTGAGATCTGAAGTCGAAGAACAAAGCAGCACAAGAGAAGGGACTGGAGGTGACAGGAAAAAGTTATCACGGAATACAGTGATACCTTAGATGTAGCTGCCTGTGGGGAGTGATTACTTAATGCTGTACTTTCCTTAGCGTTTGATTCTCTTAATTCTTTATGATAAACGTGACTGCTTTTGACAGCAGAGATGCGTCCTGGAGGAGAGGTGCATTCGCTGTTTTTCCACGTGTTCCCTGTAGTTGGCAGGAATCTTCGACAAAAAAGCAATCAACACTTGGAAGCAGTATTCCAGATCATGTATCTAAAAACAGAAGCTGTAAGCCTGCTAGTAAAACTCCTGCAGTGTGTGTGGTGCGTGTTATTGAGAAGCTACTAAATTTTAGTAAGGATTGTGCGAAGTTGCATTCCAGTATAAATACACCTTCGAAGGTATTTACATCCAGTCTGCCGGGTTCATCAGACTGTTTTTCCTACAGCAGGAAATAGAAGAGTCTCCTTAACATGGCACGTTGTGGTTTTCCCAGGTTAGCAGCATAACCGTCACTCTTCCTGCATGCTACACTGGTGACATCTGCGCTCCCTGAAGTATGTGCCTGCTCTACGAGGTACTTAGCTTGGCAGATGCTTTTAATAGGCAACTTTATGTAAAAGATTCCTTGATTAAATCCTTTTCCTGTGGTCTGCCGTAGTGTCCACATACAGCCCCGTGTTTACACAAGGCTTTTGTCTCCTCGCGGAGCTGCTGCAGTGCTCCTGGAGGCTCAGCACGGTGAGCTGCCCTCGCTCTGAGTGCTTGGCTTCTGGGCGCTCCCGTGCATCTGCCCCCTGGTCCCGTGCGGGCTCTGTTCAGAGTTAGCTCCCAGCTGAGCTGGCTGCTGACGCAGGTATAACAAATACACTGAAACCCCTTTTTCCTGTTGGCTTTCAGAAAGGCGCTTTTAATGAGCACAAAGTCAGGCTCAGAATAACGCCAGCTTTGTGGCTGCTGGCAGTGGGAGTATAATGCTGCAGCCTGTATCTGCCGGATTCCTTATACCCACTTTGTAAATCCATGACAGGGTGAGGTATGGTGCTCCTTCTCTGAAGACCTAACCAAATCTGGACGAAGGAAACTAGTGCAAGGCACAAGTAAAAACAATTTTCTGTTAATTGCTTTTTCATTGTTCGCATTTCTCTCATAACGCTGGTAACTGTTAGAGTTGTCTACACATCTAGTAAGATAGCGGAGGTTGTAATTGGTGAGGCTTGTGATTAGCTACACATCTAGCTGTGAATTTATGCTGGGTGGGGTGGCTAAATGAGAACTCTTGTGTAGGTGACACCGTTCTGTCCCTGATGTCAGATGGCCTGTAATCATGCTAAGGTAACTGCAGGAGATAGTGCTGTAGGATTATTGCACGTGATATTTTCATACTTGTCATAAAAGAATTTGAATAACTTGAGATAGGCAGAAAATCCTTTTTAGTCTGTGGAGCTGGAATCTGATTCCCAGCTCGATCCCCAGGCTGAAGGCACTGCAAGATCTGATGCTGTCTGGAGGCTGCTTAATGCACAGCTTTGTGCAGTAGTTGGGCAAGACAATGAGTTTAGGTGTACTTGTGCCATGTGTGCACAGCCATGATCCCACCCTGTGTACCAGGGATACTGTCCCGCTACTTGTAGGGATTCTCTCTGTAGGGTGAACAAGATCTGAAGTGAGTTTTGTCTTGCCTTGTGAGTTGGAACTGTTTGTCAGCAGACTGTGGAGATGATGATTATTAAGTGCACTGAAGTGTTCTGCTTAGACCACAAATGCAATCCTTTCTGGCAGTAGCTACATGATGCTGCTCCTCAGTAATTGTTGGCAATAATGTTGTTTCCTGGCATTTGTTTTCCCCCAAAACTTGGAGCAGCACAAGCATTACCTGCAGCTGATTTGGGATGACTTTCCTCTGCTACCTTCCTTGACCATCTGGCCGGTGCTCTGATTTTTCTCTTGCAGTTGAGTTTCTGAATGGGATGGTGCTCTTTGGTGTACGTATGTTCTGGGCAGTGTTACCCCAGGAAATACTGATTTATGTGACCATACACCTGCTTTTCTGAACCACACGCTTAGACGATCTCTGACTTAGTCATCTCCACTTAAACGTGCAGTATGTTCTTGCTCAAAGGTCATGGTTTGCTTTGCTATGATAAGGTTTATTTGCTAAAGCCATAAAAGTCTTAATCTGGCAACTTTTTACTTTTTTTTTCTGAAACTAAGGTATACCATCTTTTCTCTTGGTCTCTGAAACTGAATATCTTCACCTTTGCAGCAGACTTGGAGCTTGTAGCATGTAAGCTTTTGAAGGCTAACACAGACTTCTAAAGCGCTCTTGAACAGATAGGCTTGTACCTGAAACGTGGCTATGAACATCTCTTCTACAGGCAGTTCCAGTGTACGTATGGTCCCTGTATGCTTCATGAAGAGTCCACATAATTGCATTCAGAATGTTTCTGTAACATTTAATTTAGATATGATAGCACAGATGTTTCCCAGCTTATCTTGTAGCTGACACAAGAGTACAAGGATGTACAAGCTGCACTGGTGGAAAAACACCAAGAGGTGACATAGATTTGAGTATGTGTTGAATCAACAGAGATATTCCCAAAAGAGTCTTTCTCAGTTAAATGTTGCTTTTGACAGCATAGAAACTTGTGTAGTATTAGCATTTTCCACAAGCAGAGGTTCCTCTAAAGACCTGGAAAAAGTTATACTTTTCTCTGATTAAAACTGTATTTTGTTATTTTCTCTCGTAGCTATTTTTTTGGTATTAACCTCAGATGCATATCCTTAGGTTATAACCTTTCATCTCTTACATGTAAGTGGGAGTTCTCCTGGAAAAGTCATTAGAAGCCTTGATGTGATCTCTATTAGATGCTAAGTAATTAGAGAAGCAGTCACTACCATTTGGTTGTCTGTGTATCCAGAACTCAGCTCCTCATAGACAGGCACAGGTAGTAGACATGTCATATGTCTCCTCCGAGCAGCTGCTGTTCGCAGCCTAGTCTGGCAGTGCGAGGAATCCAAATTTGTCTGCAATTCATCAAGCTGTGAGACTGTAGTAACTCGGAGCTTTGCTGCGTGATCTTTCTCAGGTCTGGATGCAGTAAAAATTCTCCAGCTTCAAGAATTGGGGCCGTAGCGATACAGTTGAGGGATCTTGAGAGTAACAGTGAAGAGAAAGCTTTCATCAGTTTTCCTCTGCAGTGTTGTGTCACCAAGGCTCTTGGTTGTTGTGTTGCTTCTGCCCTTCCTGTTCCTCTAACAGCTGTTGATTCTTGTTTGCTGAGAGCTGTTGAATGAGCTCGTGGCCTGAAGATTGCTTGGGTATAAAAAAAATAGCCCTCTGCAAGTCATTGTATTTCCAGCCTGGATCAGGTCAGTGCTGGAGGGATGCTATGCTGAAAATCAGATTAGCCTTAGTTGTGCAAGGCAGAGAGCAATGCAGATGGCTCAAGGTGGAAGCGAGTGGGACAGGGGAGATCCTTTGGTTGGCATTGTTCCTGAGGAAGGCATATTATGAAGCTGTGGCCTTGATTAAACACCTTTAAGCTGCTTTCGTCTTAGCTGACATGTGGTAAGCCCGGTGGTTCCCGCACCTGTTGGAAGTTTTTGAACTTCAGCCACCGCTATAGGCAGTATGGTTTTAAAGACACTTGAGTATTAAACCCTGCCTCAAAGCACTTCAGTTATTTTTAGTTATTTACATCTGGCACAAATGCTGCTGCTAAAAGATGCTCCTGTGGTGTCTGCTGTATTGTTTCCACGCATGCCCAATTCCAAAGCCTGCACAACCCCAGTGACTGAACTGGGAATTAAACTCGATGTTGCCCTGCTGCTATCTCGGTGTGTGCTGGCAAAGGGAAGAGGCAGAAGTGAGTTTTGGGGGAAAGGTGATGTTCAAGTATATTGCTCAATTCTTGACTGCATAGCTATAGCGTAATTGTATCTTACGAGAAGGCCCTTGCTTCTGGAAAACTATGCACCAGGCTTGAAATGCAGACTTGCTTCAGCATCTGGGATGAACAGATGATGGTTTTCAAATAATGCAGCGTCTGGTTAGGCTTTTGTGTGTGTGCTTTCATTGATTCCTAGCTGTTATAGACTGTGCAACCCTGGCTTCCTTTCCCATGTGGTAGGAGAACAGCTTAGGTTGTCTGCTGGCCCCCACCCCCTCACTCTTTGCTGTTGTCTTTTCTCGATATATTTAAGATTATCTTCTTCCTTAGGTGTTGATGTTTCTTTGACTATAATATTTAAAAAATATATTATTACATTTGGCTATGAACTGCAGTTTGAGTACAGTCCAGAAAAATTCAAACGGCATCCTAGGCAAATCCTTATCCCAGCCCTCTTCCCAGCGTGCTGTTAATATAGGCATTTATTGAAGCTGATCTTGGCTTCCAGCTATTCCCATCCACATCTGGCAACACCCTTCATAATGTATTTGGACACCATAAAGTTACAAAATTATATGCCAATAAGTAGTCTTAATCTGCCTAGATTCCTAGGCTTAGGGAAACGGCTGTGACTTTTGCCAGGTAGCACTGGCAAAAATAAATCATCTGTTCTGCAAGGAGTAAGACTTCCCAGCTTTGCTGGAAGTAGGGGATTTATGTCTTGGACTGTGTTGTTTCACACACAGCTGTTCTATGATAGGATAGCTAGTCTATAACTTTGAAATACACACAGCAACATGCATCTAGGGCAAGGTTTCTTGGTTTTGATCCAGTAATGTTTTATATCTGGATTTTTAACTTGTTTCTTGGAGTGAGTAGTCTAGTTCACACTATGATATTTTTTCCCACCCCAATGTTATGTTGAGAGAGCCTTGTAGTTGCAAAGATTTTCTGTAATAGTCACAAATAAAGTTACAGCAATGATACTTGAGATGCCCATGTATTATCCAACGGGTCAAGTTCTTAGTTTCAGGAGGTAGTATTGAAGTAACAAGATGACTTGTAGTCATACACACTTGTAGTGTGTGCTTTGCACAGAAAGCCCTTCTTTGTTCTGGGTGCTGACATATATGCAATGTGGAGCCTGTACACAATGACATTTTGTCTGAGACATGTCCACCACATGGATAAGTGCAACATTTACGTCAGCATCTTTAGGCTAAGGCTATGGAGACACAGATGATACTTGTTTTCTTGCAGCAATTCAGGGTTCTGAAGTTCAGTCTCCTTTGATGTTGTCCAGTTAGTTTTTCAGTTTTCATAACCCTGAGAATACAGTGGTTAGCTTAATAAAACTATTTTTATTTGTTTTGTTTTTTGTTAGTATTTTCTCTGCATTAGGTCTAGGAAGCCTCACTGCTCTGTGACTTCAGTTATATCAAAACTTGGTGGATGAGGAGGCTGTGTCACAGCAACCTTGTGTACGGGGGCTGATAGCGTTTGTTAATAACAGCTGGACCTAGCAAGAAGAGCTTTGAGACGGGCAGGGGGAATGCATAACTTGGAAGGGATCAGTGACTGCTCAGAAATGCCCCTCTGATGTGTCGTTAATGAGTATCTCACAGGTACCTCTCTTTACATTTTCACTTCAGATAAATCATGTTGTGCACAATGGAGGATTATACAAACGGCCTTTCAATGAAGCTTTTGAAGAAACACCGATGTTGGTTGCTGTGCTGACCTACGTAGGCTATGGTGTTCTCACTCTCTTTGGATATCTGCGAGACTTCATGCGGCAATGGAAGATCGAGAAGTGTCAGAACGCGATAGAAAGAGAAGAACAAAAGGTAACCACCGGGAGACACCAATGTTTAGTGGGAAATTGTGTGGCTGAGGCTATAGTTTGGGTATTTCTTTGTAGAGCAGTATTGCTTGGTTTTCTGCTGTTTTCCTTGTCTTCTAAATACCCCATATATTATGCTACTACCAGTGTGTGATTATACAAAACAATTTTTCTTTTAGCTGGGTTATTTTTTGGTGGACCAGTTATGTTGTCTGCTTCACTGCAAAGCTGTATCAACAGTTACATCAACAAACTGAGAGCAGCATAAACAAGGGTTTGAGGGAGAGAGAGACCTGATCTGCCAGCACCAGCAGCTACAGAAGTGCTACTGGAAGGATCTGGCTTGAGCTTCACAGCAGTGGGAGGCTTTCTAATGCTGCTCTGGTGGCCGTCTGTTTTGATTTGGAAGCATGCTATTAATTCTCTTTAGCTTGAGTAGTTGCAAAGAAAATCTTGTGTGTAAGAACCTGAGCTGGATGATTTTAAATTCACATGAGGTCCAAGACACTGCAAGCAGGTTAGCTAATAAGTAATTAGAGGTACTGACTCCTGGTTCTATGATAGCATTAAAAAAAAAAAAAGCTATTAATGAGAGCTTCTGTTAACAGGTAAAAGGTCTTGCCAGCTGCAGCAGTTAGTCTGAGATAGATAATTTTATGTTGTCTAAAATCATTTTTAGAGGCCTCTAGTCCCCACTGAGGTTGCAGTCTGAAAGCTGCCATTTAAACTTGCATTTCACAAGGCATTTCCTGCTAATGCTGTGTGAGCCCTCTTAGCATAGTGTGAATACCAGTGAGCTTTGCTCCTGAAGTGGAGTGGATAGGCTTACTCTTGCTCATTGTGGTTCTGGTTTTCTCAGCCACTTTGGGGAACTGATCTGGCTTACAAACTTTAAGGCAGTCTGACTTTCGCTTGCTGGTTTCTGGTTCTCTGGGTGGCCACACGAGCAGTTGGCTGTCAGAAAATAAGTGTGGGGGGAGGGAGGTCAGGAATGCAAACAGATAACTATGGATAGGAGGGTGGAGGAGAAAAGACAAGCCTCCTTTTGGAGGCAGCACAGGGGTCAAGTTGACATTATATTATGGTAGATCAGCTAAGATACAGTGAAGCAACCGATGCCTAAAATCATTCCACAGCAGCTTCTTTGTGTAACTACCATGAGGTGGAATTCAGCTGACTCATAGCAAAGCTCTTAATTCCAAAACAGAAACATCCTTATAGGAATGTAATGAAGAATAGATACTACATACCCATTAAAAGTACAGGAAGTTAAATTTACACTATTTCCAAAATTGACTTGTGGAATCGGGAAGTAAAATCTTGATCTGTTATAGCAGTTACAGTATCTGAGTAAGGATTGCTAGCTAAAGCTCTGTAACTTGATGTGTTCTTTAAATTCGTTTCAGCTACTTTGTTTTATATCACCTGAGACACTGTTTTTCTGTGTGTAAACAAGAAATAGAAACAGAAAGGAGTAAACAGCTGCAGAAATATACCAAGGCTGGATATCAGAATAAAAGTTGAAATGTTGGCTCATACTCATGGTACCTGAGGGCTTGAAAGGGGCAGCTGGGAGTGTTGGTGTAAATTAGGTCAGTCTATATGATAGTTACTGTATTTTGGTTAAATGCTTGTTGTCTTACAAATGTGTAAGGTTCAAGACTGCTTACAGTAACCCTTTTCTGTGGGAGCAGTCATGAGGAGGAGACCTTGGGCAGCAGTTGTAATTTGGGGGTATATTACCAATGTGAGGCTCTCCATAAAGACTGTCACAGGTGATAAAGGCACAGTTTGTTAGCAACTGATTATCCTAGTTCTAAAAAAAAATAAATGTATTTTTTCCTTTATAAAGAAATGTTAGTATTGCATCCTCTCCTGAAAGGCTTTTGTTTAACAAGCGTACCTCCTGGACAGATGAATGGAAACCCTTTGTCTGTGGATCATGGCTTGCAGGAACGAGCTGCGTGTGTTCTGTTTTTGTTTTGTCTGTAGGATCTCCATGGATGGATCTAGTGAGAGGCGCTTTTTATCTGAAGGATCTCTTTGCTGGGTGGCGTGTCATGAGTAGCACAGTGAATACTGCAGCAGAGTGAAAAATAGGAAATCCTGCATAGAAGAGTTTAGGTGTGGAAGAAATCCCAGTGTAGTGTACTTCCCTAATTCATGCTTCTAGTGCTTAGGTAGGAACAGCTGTTTCCAATATTGGACAAACAGCAAATTGATCATGTGAGATCCAGAACCTGCCGCACTTAACTTGCACTTTGGTGCTTTGAGCTTTGTTTGCCTGCAAACAAGTTGTTGCAGTGTATCTGGTGTGGGAGCCAGGTTTTATTTTGGTATAGGAGGGTGCTCAATGACTTGTTTTAAAACAGTTTCTTGTGATTTTCAAATATTTGAATCTCTCAAGCTGCTGGCTGCCAGCCCAATTATCTTTTACTAAGGAAATAGATACTAATATGCATAAAATGATTAAAAAAACCACTTTTCTTTAATACATGTCGTTTAAAGAAGCCCTGCAGTTGCTCTGAAGTACTCGCGGGCAGATTTGTAACCTCTGTGTGGAAAGCAACATTTTTTGTACATAAATTTTAAAGAGCTAGCTAATTGTTTTTCTGAAGTATCAGGCAAAAGGGTTAGCTCTAGTTTTCTGAAATAATTCTTAAATTACTTTTCAGGTGAAGAATTCAAAGCAAAGCCATTGAGAGTAACTGTGAATGAACAGTGTGTGAAGATGTTTTGTGTGAGTAGAACTAAATTACGTAGTGTGAGGGTGGATTTCATACAGGGCTGAAAGAACTGGTCCTGAAAGTCATGGAATTGAAGCTTGTCAGCCTTCTGTGGTGTATTGCTGAAAGTGATTGCAGTTGACAGCATAGAATAAGCCTAGGTGCAAAATGTGGTATTGAAAATAATATTTTTTAAAAAGCCTTCAGTTTTTATATATTTTGGAAGGTACTTTGTTTCAGTAGAGCAAATCCTTCCTTAAACGGTCACTTGACAGCATGTTTACCAGAACTGAAAAATGAAAGCGGATGGGACTAATTTTAAGAATAGGCTTTCTAACAGGGTTGTTTTGGGTCTGTCTCTGACAGTGGGTAAATTCCTTGTTACTTATTAGAGAGCAGCACATTGCAATGAGTGATTCTAGAAAAAATAATCTCTCACCAATGCTACACAAAAATGTAGAAAGGAACAGGCTTTGCTAGTACGGATTTCCAGGAATTAGTCTTTGATGGGCTTTGGCTTCATTTAAAACATATCCAGCTGGGCTTTTCCTGGAACCCCCTGTTACGTGGCACATCCTGTCAGAAACATTATCAGTCTCTTTTAGGCATGGGTGAGTGGAAAGATTAACAGTTCTCAATTACCCTGGAGTCTGTTTATGCATATCCAGTTTAACATAATGCTTAGTCATAACCTTCTCACCTGCTGTGCTCGTAGCGTTCTACAGGTAGGATGAAAGCCACTTTTACATTTATCCCAGTCTGGTTTCCTTACTGATTACATTGTATATGGGAGAAAATATCTAAATGAGGATGATTTGGGGTCTTCAGTGGGATTCCTGTGAACAAGTATCTTAGGGGCAGTAAGCTGGAGTCCTTCGCTCGGTGGTGTCTGAGCACCTGTACAGCTCATTGTAGGCTCACTGAGGATACAAAGGCTACCCAGAGTTGTTGCTCCACATTTTCCTGACTCACGTAGCAGGAGATAGAACTAGTATTTCTGCTTCCTTTCAGAAGTCTGAAGTTTGTTGGAAGTGTCCACTCAGAGCTAGTTTTGTACTATCAGGGAATGCATTATGTGAACTGCAGATAAGCCTCGCTGGTGCTCATAGCGCCATTTGTTAGCTTAGGTGCAATGCTGAGAGAACCTGGCTATAAAAGCAACATAATCACTGCATTTGCATGTTGCCATGCCCCAAGCTAATGGTACAAAGCCCTCATTATGACCTTCATTTGTAGTATTAATTTACAATATGATGAAATCTTGGGTGTACAAATCACCCGTGCTAAGGTGCTGCATCTGCAAGGGAGAACTTTGTTCTTCCCTTGTTTCTCATTGTTTTTTTTTTTGTTTGTTTGTTTGTTTTTGAAATTGCTGTATCTTTCAGGCTTCTGGGAGATCACTAGGACTTAGGTTTCTGTATCTGGCATTGCTTTAAGTGGGATGTGTTCTAGGCTTCAACTGACAGGAACAGAACTGTGGAGGATTTCTTAGCTCCGTGTTCCTATCACTTCAGATGGAAGAAAATGTTCCTTTTGCTCCCTGATCTAGGAACATTATATCCTTTGCAGTTGTTTGAGTGGATGGCTACTCGGAAGATTACTCAAAGAATCGGCTCACTCCTAGAATGTTTTTCCTCCAACTAAAGCAGTTCCACCTAAGGTTGATATCTCTTTTTGGCTACAAAGACTGATGGATTGGAAATAGGATGAGAACTCAATGGAACAAATAACAATAAGCTCCAAAGATCATGTAAATGGAGCAGTGATTGCTTCCAGCAGAGCAGCTAGGACACTGTTGCAATAAAGCACTGTAGTTACAAATGCCAAACATTTGAAACAGTATGGATTGATAGATCCCATGGAGCCTTCCCAAATTGTTTTTTTCTTAGTTGAAAAATTTGAAAATATTTGATTTCCATGCAGAACTCAGCTGGCCTCTGTTCTGTACTCCTTGCTGCTCTCTCTCTGGAATGCCCCACCAAAACAAACAGCAGGCAAACCGTCTGACCCTGTGTGCCAGCTCTGAAAGAGGGTTCTCAAAGTCCAAACTTGTTTCTGAAAAGTAGTTGTAGAAGTAGCATACGGACAGTTCCTTGCTGTTTGTTTGCTGTAGTTGAAAGCCTACAGTGATTTGCAAAGGTGCAGTGTCCCTGTTGCCTCCCTTTTTTGTGTTCTCAGCTGCGTGGGGCTAGGATTATTGAGGGAACAGGTAGTTCAGTTTTGCTTTATGCCAAAATGGCACTTCCCGTTTATCCTATTCCAAGGAAGCCCCTTACAAGAGCTAGCTGGGAGTGGTTTATTGCTGGGGGTGAAGGGGAGGATATACAAAGGGGCAGACATCAAGCTGATGCCTCAAGTAAAGCACATTGCTATAATCTTAGTGCTTCCCTGGTACCCCCAAAAAGTGAGGCTAGTATCCTGTATTATACATGAGTTCCCTTACCCATAACTTACTCCTCGAATTTCTGTTGAGTTTTAAGAGACTTTTTTCCTTAGGATAATCTGGGATTTAGCAAACTCTTACTTCACAGTTAAATCAATTTCAAGTTACGCTGTTGGCTTGTAAGATCCTCCTTGCATTATATCTCTTTCAGTGGTATCAACCTGTTGTGGGTGATCATCTTTATCTCACCAGCTGAGCTTGTTACTCTTCCTGCTTTGTCAGCCTGGCTTTCAAAATAAAGCACACTTTATCTGATCAGAAATCTGAGGTGAGATTGGACTGTATCAGCCCAGGCATACCTGCTGCAGTTAGTACAGTGACTCACTTCCAGCCTCCACTCCTCGCCAGGAACCGGGGCTGAAGTTTCAGTTGATTTCCTGGGTCACACAGTTACTGTGCTTGAATAACTACTGCAAAGCTAAATTGTCAAGCAAGGATGGTCTCTGAGAAAAGCTGAAAATGGTTGAAGTGTTTCAGTAGATTATAAGTAGATGTAATAAGTCCAAATCCCTCAAGTATTGATCAGTTCACTGTGCCAGTTTCTTTTTGAGCTCCTTGCTTCCCCCACCCCTATAAAATGCTGTAACAGAGTTTGACGCTTGTGGGTAACTGTTTGATTCTGTGTCATGAGTCAGGATCTCACTCTACTGCCTCAAATACTGTCATGCACAGCAGGACTCTGTAGTAGAGTACAGTAGCTGTGTAGCTTCTCGTATATGTGTTTGTCAATACCAAGGTGTTTTTCTCCATTGTAAAAGTGGCCAAGTTTTTTTAGTGGTTCAGGCTTGAAACTAACCTTCTGCCTAGGCCAGTGAGATGCTGCAGGGGTGGAAGGATAGAGCTGTGTAGCTACCTCAGAAAATGAATGACTTTCTGTAGGATTACAACTCCTTCAGCTGACTAGCTATCCCTGTGAGAAACATCTCAATTTTCTTCAGACAAGATCTTCTGTTGAGCTATTTTATTTGCAATGGCGGGCGTCCTGTCAATCAGCAGTGCATTTTAGGAAACAAATCATAACCTTTATTCCCTATTACCCGACGCCTGATCACTCCCCTGTTTCCTCATTGGCTGAGTACTACAGGTTCACAAGCTACTCGATGCTTCTCTATACCATAGACGTACAATTTTTCTTTTTTTTTCTACCCTTCAATTTCTCCTTTCTTATGTTTTGAGAACTTGTGATCTTTGTTTTACTGTTCTCACACTGCTCATCCTGTTTTTCTCCAGCTTCTATCTTATTTTGGAACAGCGAGGCCTTCTCCTGTCCACTTATCTACTGAGCATTTCTCCTTATTATGACTACACAACTACCTTGGAATACAGAAAATTAGTTCTCTACTGCAAAAACACAACTTTGTTTCTGTTAAGCTCATTTGACAGAGGACCTTCAGAGAAGATGTGGCGTGTGTGAAATAACGTCAAATTGTAAAGTAGAAGAACATGGAAGAAATAACAGCCCTTTGGTGTATCTTAGCTCATAGAAATGACGCCTTCATTTGAGAAATGATATGCTTGTGATTCCCTGGAGGAGAGACCACTGGCTAAATTTGGTTTGTTTTTCCATAATTGAAATGATGGAAATGAGCATCTTTGTGCCTTTTGGGCATGTCATTATGCACAGGCAAAGCAGAGGGGGAGTTGAGTGCAGATGTGTCTATTTGGGAGTTAGTTCTTTGGGGCGCTCTCTGTCTTTCCTGTGCAGCTTCTGCTAGGAGGATGCTAAGAGGTGGACCTAGATGAAAAGAACCTAGATGGTTCTTTTACTCTAAGCTGAAAGTTGTGAAATCATTAAATGTGGAAGGTAAAGGAAAGAAAGTCCTCTTTCTTCAGTTGAGCATTGCACATAAAAGCTTGTCAGTGCTCATTTGTTTGAGATATTATTTAAAAAAACTGGCATAAATACTCCCAGTTCTGCTTCAGTGGTATAAACGTCAGGCTAGTACTAGCATTTGGTCAGACAGATATTCTATCTTGCCTATCCTGTCACCTAAAATAAAATGCCTCTCTCTATGTTTTCATTTCTATTGTGAAAAACAGGAAGAAATGTGATGCTGGCTTTTACCCCTGTCATGAAATCTACTTTTTCCTTTTATAGATTTTTACAAAGGCATGTTTTTGTGACAGTAGGAAATTAATTATGCATTCTTACCGCCACTGAATGTCAAACTTCCCTTTAATTGAAAAGTAATAATGGAATCTTAGGGCTTTGGAGCGTTTTAAGTAGGCCAGAAAAACATGTTCTTGAATGCTCAGATGTCCTTACACTTGTCACACTTGGTTTGACATTTCTGTGTGTTATCCATTCAAGACAGTCACTTAGTTTTCCTGAAAAATGTTGGAAGGGAAGCTAGAACTCAGGAAATGCTCATACAAAGAAATCCTGTTGGACTTGCTTGATGATAAGCTGTGATGAACAGAGGTGCCGTAAGGTAGCTTAAGAGTTCAGATTCTGTGCTAAAAAAATGTGGTAAGCTCTGAGAATGAACTCTGATAACAGTAATGCTGCTGTTTTAAATGCATTTCTTATGTATGAAATAAAATATAGCAGAGTACCTCAGTTTTAAGTCATCGTGTATTCAGGAAAGCAATGCACACTGTCTGGTGCAAAAAAAAACAATTGCATATTCCCTTGCTCTGCTTAATTCTGAAGGCTGAATACAAGTCTGTTGTAAAGATTATACAGCTATGCATCCCACAAAGTGGGTTTTTGCAGATTTCCAGGTAGATTCTCTCCTTGACTAGCCAACAAAGTTGGTCATCAGGTTGATAACAGAGCTGGAACGAGAGCCAAGGGATTTCAAGTCGCAGTCAAGTTCAGAGAACAAGACCTCATTGCATCATTAGGACCTTGCAGCTCAGTTTCTGTATTGCTTTCAGCACTCTCTCACCAATTCATCAGAATTTTTGAGGCTTTACACCTTGAGGCATGACCTATTGCTATGAAAGTTTGTTTTTTTTTTCCTAGTTGTGGTTGATGGCTTTTAGATGATATGAGCTACTAAGGTTTGATGAAAAGTACGTAGAAAAAGCATGTCTGTTCTTCACTAAGCATTTTATTTGTTATATGCAAACAAACACCTACTATTGAAGAAACCTTGGGGGCAGAATCCTTGGGGAATCTTTGGGGATTTGCAGATTGAAAAAATTTGAAAATCGCATTTAGCAGATAGACTTTGCGCCACTACTTGAATCTCTTCAGTTGCTGTCTTTGTTTTGCTGCTGTATCACCTTCAAGTAATTATGTGCTTGCAGAAGTAATAATACTATATCTAAACTGCTTTGGGTGGAATTGGTTTCAGCTCAGTGAAGAGGTCTTACCTTTCTCCTGTGTTTTCTTGACCTTTCATTTTACAAATTGCGCTTGTTGTTTCAGAAAATAATTTATTCCTCTTATTTCCGATTTGCTGTGATATATTCTTTCCTTTTACTTTGAGTGCTTTTGATGTGTTTCAGGACTTTGTCCCGTTGTACCAAGACTTTGAAAATTTCTACACCAGAAACCTCTACATGCGCATTCGAGACAGCTGGAACCGTCCAATCTGCAGTGTGCCAGGGGCCAAAGTGGACATGATGGAAAGAGTTTCTCATGACTATAACTGGACATTCACGTGAGTTAAAATGGAAGAAAAGGCTTCCAACAGTTATTTTTAACTAGAGAGTCTATACAAGCATGTTAAAGGATGTGAGGTTAAAGGAGCAGGGAATTATGTTTGAGTTATCTACTGGCTTGAATTAAATAATTTGGTTGTTTTGAACCACATCTGGCCACCAAGATTATTTTTATATAATCTTTTGATATTAAGACCTATTGATGCCACTGACTGTGCTAAGATTTCATTGGCCTGCTCCTATAGTAAAATTAATGTCTTTGTGTGTGATGACCAGAACCTGGGGTGGATAGATACTTCGGATTGCATTACTACTTTTGACTTCTTGTGCTGGTTTAGAATCAATCCAGATTTAAATACTTGATTTAAATGTTGCTGCTGAAACTGAATTTAGCATGATTGATTTGAGTCAGAACTGAAATAGACTGAGGAAACAAAACCAGAAGCTTAAGGACAGGGTGTTTTTTCTGTTTGTTTGTTTTGTTTTTACGAATTGGAAGTGACATACCACAAGGTTTGTGTGAAGAGGTTTGCAGCATAGTATTTGGTGAAACTAGTTGTGTCTCTCCTTAGCTTTCAGGAGGAAAATAATTAAAACTCTTTTCCAGTAAACTTCTTCCTTAATCTCCTTGTCACGTAGCATTAGCACAGCAGTGCCAGATGTGTTTCCTTTCTGCAGTTAGAGGATATCCTGCTTGAGGGGCTGCCAAGTTAATTGATCTAGAGATCATATTTTGTAATCGGGAAGAAAGTTGTATGTTTCTGGGACTATGAAGGGGACATGTCAGAGAAACAACAAATAGTTTGAGAAGCCTCAAGCAATGCTAGATACAATAGCATAAATGCCTCTTAATGTGTAAACTGTTGTGGGAACTTCCACTTTTAGTTTGAGACCACAAGAAAGGGAGAACATCTTTCTCACTGATAATTTCAGTTTCATAACGAGGGTCAACACTGGAAAAAAAAATGCTGTTGGTTCTATTGACTTTTTTTATGTTTAGTTCTAGGAAACAGGAATAAGAATCTTCTGGTGTAGTTAGTTTTACAATTGTGTATGTCCTAACTTGTGATGTTTTTAAAACACAGGTATACAGGGAAAGTGATAAAGGGCATTATTAATATGGGTTCCTACAACTACCTTGGATTTGCACAGAACAATGGGACCTGCCAACAAGCAGCAGCTAAAGTTCTGTCCCAGTATGGAGCTGGGGTGTGCAGCAGTAGGCAGGAGATGGGTAAGTTGGAGTAAGATAGGATGCTTCCTGACTGTATGTTTCTAAGTCTTTAAATTTGATCTCAGGTCTTTTAAGCATTAATTGTTCCAGCTCTTGAACTTCAGACTAAGCAATAAAAAAGTCATAACTTCAGTGGAGATGACTTGCTGGGTTTAGTTTATACAGGACTGCTGTTTATTTGCTTTTTTTTTCTGATGTGTGTGTGCTTGTAGTTTTTTTAGTATTCCTGTACAGTCTTTATTCAAAACCACATACTGGTTGATGAAAATACTTCTTGTAGAATACAGCAGTAGTGAAAGCTTCTTACTCTGAATTTATTTTATGTGCAGGAAACTTGGACAAACATGAGGAGCTGGAAAAGCTAGTTGCCAGATTTCTAGGTGTGGAATCTGCAATGGCATACGGAATGGGGTTTGCAACCAACTCTATGAACATTCCTGCTTTAGTTGGCAAGGTATGGCTCAAGTTACTAGTAAAAGCATGGCTAATGAAGACCATAATGGTCCAGTTTTCTAAAAGCTATTTGTTTATTTTATTCTTCAGTGCAAGCCCTTGCAGAAATTTTCTGTGGAAACTATAGGTCACAGGTACACGTCACTGACCTTTGCAAAAATCTTTTGGGCAACAGCATCCTAGGAAATTATAGCACTTTAGATCTCCTCTTTCTAGGAGAAAGCATAGCATGTTATGGCTTGCTTCCTCAGGCTACTCATTAGTATATGAAATGGTGGCTGGTTGACTGAAGGTATTTTGGATGCTCTTCAGACACTTCGGAAGTGGCTGTCTTGAGGCACACAGAAGAGCCGAACTGCATGTTGTACATACAGGATTTATTGTTCAAGTGACATCTGAAAAATCCTTATGTTGAAGGAGCTAAATTCTCCTAGAAAAGCTATTCAAGAGAAATAATGCGAAATTGGAACACTGATTATATCTACTGTGTGCCCCATAAAACAGTACACAATGCAGCCTGAGTGTCTTGCATCTCAAACTAGTTTTAAAGTTATTGGAAAATGAAATGGAAAAGAGTTCTTTGTATCTTCTGGTGCAAAATATATGTTCTCTTAGCTGCTATATTGAGCAAAATAATGCAAGTACTGGAACTATATCTTTTTGAAGATGGTTTACTGCTAGCCTGGCATTACAAACCTATTTGTTCCTCTGTGGTGAATTACTTTTTCCTTTATTCCACTTATTCTTCTTTTCTGAAATCACTTTCTAGGATTATGAATTTGCTGCATTTGTTCTTCACAGCAGTGTTTCCTCCTGGTGATTCTCTTTTTGACTAGCTTTAGTGTCTTCCTACTCTTCATGTTATCTGTAACTGAAGAAGCAGTGTCTACTTAATGCCCTTTTTCTCTTGGTCTGTTATGTTTTAAATACCAGATTTCCACTGATTTTTTAAAACTTATTTATTTTCAAAGTGGTGCCTGAGAGTGTTTCAAATTTAGTCTTTTCTGGAGTGAAATGTCTCCTCAAGGCTGTTTTTTAATAATGTGTCCTTATGTCTTTTACTTGGTTTTTGCTGCTTCTTGTCTTCCTACATCTCCCTGATTTCTCTTGGACAGAAAAATGATACATAATTTCTGTGAGAACTTTTGGATTTAGAAGTCTACATAAACATACCTCTGACTGCCTGTGTGTTGTGTTCTAAGTGAGAAATTGCCAATTATCACAGTTAGTCAACCCTTCTTTATGAGTATGTGGATCCCGCTACATCTTAAATAGCGTATCAGAATATCCTTGAGACACCTCACTCAGCTCTTTAGCTGTCACATTTGAACTTTAACTGGTTTTTACAGTCACTAAAAGAATCTGAGCAGTAAATACCAAGGTATGTATTGTAGCTGTTTTCATGCACATACCTTGCATGTTTAATAATCCAGCTCTTTTCATACTCAGATGGTTACAACAATCTGCACTGTTAGTAATAAGCCTACGTAGTTTTTGTGCACTTTATTTAAAGTAGTAGGTTTTTGCCTCATAACCTTAGAAATGCCCTTATACTCAAGTGAATACTCCAAACAGAAAATGTTCTCTTCTGAAGAAAAGAGTTCCCGTCAAATGAACCATTTAATGGTTTAGAACATTCACTAAATGCTTTTTCATTTGGCTGCCCAACATTGCTCCTTGCTGCAATTTTGATTTCTTCATTGTCTGCAAATAAAAACTCACATAAATCAAATATTGAGTTCTGGCACCACCCAGCACATGATTGGCTGGGTGTGCATAGCCTGTTTTTTCAATGCTTTGTTAGTCTTCAGCAAAGCTGAGGGACTCCTGAGCTTGATTAAACTCTTGGGCTCTCATCTCACGACTGTTTGTGTCTTTTTGTATGTCCTAGATAGACTTTTGAGGTATAAAATTTCTTTGAACATGAATTCTTGGAGGTTTATTACACATTACTTATTACAAATATAATCGGTAATGACAACATCATTTGGCTGGAAGATGTTTCTTTGACAGTCACTAATACAACTTGAAACTAATTATTATTTGAATCCTATCTGGGCAATTATATTACAACTTACTAATTAGCTTAAAACACAAGCCATTGCAATAAAGTTATTTGTGTATGTGTTACTGGACCACGGGTTCTGGTTTTGCTCTTTAGAATCCTTATATATGTGGTTTATGTTGCTATGTAATCCACTCTTAATAGCAACAAATATGACCTGACAATTCTAGGATTGGACTCAACCCCCGTAATCTGGTCAACAAAAAGAATTCAAAAGTTTCATCAGCATCACCCAGGCTTTGTTCACTATGCCCTGTCAACAGTAGCTTCTACTAAGCAGATGTTGAAAAGAGGTATAATTGGTATATATTGGAAGTTGTATTTCAGCACTGGTAAAGCATCACTAAAAACAGGTCTTCCTGCACCTGGTGGTCTTCAGCAGGAGACCCACTCACTGTAAACAGCCAAATTGTCAGCTGCCTCGTACAGTCACTGCCAAGTACACTGAGTATAGACAACAGATAATGTGGGACTTAAGGATTATGTAGTCAGAAGTCATTAAATTGTGAGGGAATGCTAGGCTACAAAACTTGCCTAATTTGAAGTAAATGTCATTAATCTTGTTAGAGTAACTAGCTGGTAATAGCAGCATACTGTAATGCCTTTAGCACAGAGCTTTGCATCATAGCTTGGGACTGACAGAGGCTAGATAGCAGAGGTAAAGCAACGGTGCTTGAAGGATCTTGCTTTGGTTGTTAAGAAAGCAACCAAATTACCTTCCGTGTATAGTCAGTTTGAAATTAAGTCCTCAGGTCTGAATTCAACAATTCATTTTTATAGCACTTTGTGGTAACTGAAGCAAAAGCCACATTTTTTCATTTCTGCTTTGTAGAACACAAGTGATAGGATCTTCACTAGCATATATTTGTCTTGATACCTGTAGTGTAATCCCCAATTAGTGTTAGTCATAGTCACCTAGCTACTCTCTCAAACGTAAGTTGGCTGATAAATGCAGCCAAAGCCTTATTGTGGTAGCATCACTCCTCTGTTTTAGGTATGATCATCAGATATTGCTGTACGGAACCAGTGATTTCTTTGATACTTTGCCTTTTCTTGAGAAGCATGAACTATTAGTTTCCTTACTTCTGCTTCAGTTTTATTTATTTTTGGTCTAATTGAATGTCCTTCTGCTATAGAGGGCCAAAAAAGGGCTACTCAACAACTTGTATTTTCTTTCTCTACCAACCACTCATATCGGTACTTGTGGAGAAGCCTCTTCTAGAATATTAATCTTGTCTCCTTTTCTTAATCTATCATTTTTTTCTACTACTTACCATTTAAGAAGGATGCTAGTACTGGTTTATTCAGCTGTTGTAGTTGTGTTTAACAGCAATACCCTGTGATGTAGTATGCATACCCTTGTCCTGTGCCAAAGAGCAAACAGTAGTTGGAGATTTCCATGCTGCAGATGTTAAAGTCTCCAAAATATGCAGGGTGAACCTTTCTTGTAACAGCAGTTGGAATACTTAAGATTTAATGCAATTCCTGGGAAAGACTTCTATTGTCTGTGCTGCCACATTTTGTAATACTAGGCATTGATCAGCTGTAGCTGTAGGCATTTTATCAACTATTGATCTGTAATTGTTGCTGCTCTGAAAACATATCCAATTAAGATATCCTTTCAAGAATATGTATTCCCTTTTTTGGAAAAATAATAGATGTAATCTTTAAGGGCTTCAGAAAACTTCGGAATTTCTCTTTACTTTTGCTTTCCTGTTACTGTCTCTTGTACATTACCTCAGTCTACAAAATACTTGATAATTCTGGGCATCAAAGAAAATTAGTGTTTTTTTTTGTAATCACTCTGAACACAGGTTTAGGCAGTGGTTACCTTTGAATGTAAGAAACAGTGCAACCTAGTGATAAAGTTATTAACCTAGGAACTCATTGCCCTGGATTTTGTTTCTTAGCACCACTGTAGTCTTGCCAAGTGAACTGTGGCAAGCTGCTATGCTCTCTGTTTTACCTGGCTGTGTAGGAAGATGAGTACTAATAGTCATCATAAAGCATTCAGGCATGCTCAGCTGCAGGTTTTCTGGGTAGTGAAATTTAAGAAATTGTTTAAGTAATAACAATAGTGTATTTTCATTTGCCATACTAAGGCTGCAAATTGTTTCTTTGGCAGTCTTGCCTGAACCGGCTACATTTATGTTGGATTTCTTTTGTATTTTTTGGTTCTTAAATGACTTATGTGCAGTTCAGATCTGAATGGTGTTGTATGCTTGACTACAAAACATACCCTTTCTAATATCTTCCTTTTTCTTCTTCTAATTTAGGGCTGTCTAATTTTGAGTGATGAACTGAATCATGCATCACTAGTGCTTGGAGCAAGACTGTCAGGAGCAACTATTCGAATCTTTAAGCACAACAGTAAGTATACAATGGTGGACTCTGCCTTTCTGCAGGGGCTGTGGATCAGATCTGTCTTATCTTCTAGTAGTTGGAAATCAAATGTCATGCAAGGAAATCAATTGCTGGTTACCTGAAAGCTAAGAAGACTGCTGCTACATACTGTTTAATCATAGTGGATTGGAAATTCCCCATGTATTCAGTCTCAACTAGTATCACTTTTATCATGAAGCTGTACTGGCTTACATCTCTGCACGTGAAAAGGAACATTTTGCTCTTTGGCAGTTTAGGGGCAATATTGTTCTATCATGGCTTCTTGTTACTTTGATAGCTCAGCACAGACTCATCTAACAGTCTATGTCATACATGTATAGTAACGCGGTCTTGTAGTGGTCTAAATTACAATTTGTGGAATTAGGGAAGTTTTTCACCAAAGGATAAAACATTAAGAATACAAATATTAAGCTTCACAGCTATGTGTCCATACAATGTAATTACAAAGGGTGTTCCAGGACGTGAAGCATAGATTTATTTAACTGGATTACTTGTTTTGTGTGTTTTGGAAACGAATACTTAAATATTGACATTTTGCTAGTTTCAGCCTCCTCCAAAGGAGAGATTTAGAATAATTCTATTTTCAGATTTAAAAATAAGGTTCTTTCTATTCTTAGTGAAAGAAGTACTGGCTTCTCCTTAATTCATAAAGCCACTGCCTTCATTATTTAGCTTCTCTTTTAATATTATCATTCTCTGAAATTGTGATGACTTGCTTTGAAACCTCTGGTGGAGATAGGAAAGCTTGGGTTTCTGTAATTCTTTTTTTTTTCTTTGTCCTACTTGATAGTGAATCTTCTACTATTTTTCTTGTTTCTTTTGTGTTTTTCTTGTTCTCTGTTGTTTGAAGAGTTTTCCTTAAAGCATAGAGTGTACTGGTAATGCTTTATTTTTTTGGTTTATCATTAGCCTTGATTGCAGCATTGCTTAATTGCTGGGCAAGATCATAAAAACTTTGTGTTCAGCTTCTGCATTTGTTTAAGCATACTTCTGAATGTTGTGTCCAGTTCCAGCAGTTTAGAGAACACCTGTGACAAATGCATTCTGTGAGGGATTTAGAGGCTCTGGTATTGTATGGAGGAATAGATCGTTTGTGGGCATGGGATACAAACTAGTAATGGTGAGACTATGGGATGTTTTAGAAACTTTATAGATGGCGTGGATCTTTGAAAGCGAATGGAGTTACACATCAGAATCAGAAGGCAAATGCAAGCAGTAAACTGCATGTGTTCTCAGTACTACTCCTGTTATATTCTATCCTGCTTTAATTCATTGCATTTCGCTGAGATGTTATTGGCTTCATTCATGCAGTTCTTAGAAATTGTTTTCATTTTTTTCTTACCTCATTCTGCAGTTTGTCCTGTTTATTAAGGTCAGACCTAGTTCTCAGACCTCCCTTCTTTGAGAGATTAGAGCAGAAGTATTTTATTCTAATGTTCTCCATAACTGCACTAAACTCATCATTTCTTTCATCCTTTATTCTTTGAGAGATATGTTGGAGACCGTTGACTTCATCTTTTCTGGAACGCTATCTATCTTCCAACAGTAACTTGAACTATTTTTCTAATTCCTACTCTAGTTCTAGTTCATAAGCTGCTCTTGCTGCTACACCTGCTCTAGTTTACCAATCATCTTTTCATGATTGCTCGTGCTCTTTTTCATGTCCTAGTGTTTCTATCTATTACTCAACATTTTAACTACTGTGGTTGGATTACACCCATCTCCATTCCTTCCTCAGTGCTTCCCCTGCCCCCCTCCTTTCCAGGATTGATTTCAGGTATATGTATTTGCTCACATCACTCTGTCAGGTGTCCTTGGATTAGATGAAGTGTTTTTAGCTGAAGTTAATAAGGTTTCAGATTAGACAGAAAGTGCTGTTAGTTGCCATGTAGTTTCTGATATGCTGAGCATTGTCATCATCCCTACACTGGCTCTTCCTTTTTTCTCCTTTTCAGTTTGTTTTTAATAGTTTCCTGTTCCACCTGTGTAGTCTCTTCAGCTTCTAAACAGAAGTGACGTAAAAGTACACTAGTTCCCCTTGTTCTGCACTTTGGTCTATCTTCTACTTATCTTTCTTTGATTATCCTTGAACTTGTTGCTCTTTGACTTATTTCTATCCACAAGGACGCTCTTGCTCCATAAATTGCTTTCTCTCTTCCTAACAACTAAATGCCTTTTTTTCCTCTTTTCCTCTCACCCTCCCCCTGTCTTGCTGCTTTGTACTTTCAACTCGGGATGGTCAAATTCTTCTTTGCAGTTCATAGTCACCCATTCCCTTTAATCTCATATGTAGGCCTGCAGCTAGATGAAGTTCATGCTTATTGACTTATGTATGGTCCATCCTCCCCACTGGACCAATTTGTGTTTCTGTGGTATTGCTGTCTTTAGTCGTAGTCAAAGTTCAAGCCAATAGCTGTTTGGTACCATTTAACAGTAATTTCTGGTGCAGATATGCAAAGCCTGGAGAAGCTGCTCAAAGATGCTATTGTGCATGGGCAACCTCGTACACGGAGGCCCTGGAAAAAAATCCTTATCTTGGTGGAAGGAATATACAGGTACAAACTATTCTTTATATTCCTAAGACCCTCCCCATGAGATCTAGTTGCTTAGTATTTGAGTTCCTTTGTCAAATCAAACAATGTTAATCGCTTTATAGTTATTTCATGAATCTCATGTGAGACTTAAGTTGAGGTATATATATTTCACATCCTGGACTTTGTGTTGCTAATATTATAGCTACACATGATGTTGTCACAGTGTTGCCCACATCTTGATCAGATTGTAGAAGCTGATCTAAACTGATTATTTATATCAGAGCTGAGATCTTAATTCGCTTGGCCATTCCATTCTTTCTGTGCTCACTAGATGATGATAGTGGATGGAATTACGCAAATTGAATGTTTTTTTCTGAATGAGTAGGAGTATGTAGTAGGTTTAGCTGTGTTAAGCATTTAAATCATGGTGGCTTTCAGCACAAAATGGGGTGTTTTGGAGTGTTGTCTTTGAAATCCTAGGCAGCTCTTAGACTTAAAAATAATAGGTAAATAAGACAGATCAGAATACTGACATGAGGGTGGAAGTAAAAAGGTTATCTTCATAAAATAATCACTGAACACATTCCTTTGCCTCTAACTTACTGTTGCTGCTACTGTTGAACCTCTCTAGGATACTGACGTACTGCATAAACAAGTAGAATATAGTTACCTGGGCACTAGGTGCAAAGAGCATGTATTTTTAATTTCTCTGCAGAATAAAAACATGTATAGCCATTCTTATGTGATCACAGTTAATGAGAGTGGGGAAAAAAATGCAAGTTTAGTGATCTGGGGCTGTAGAAAGAGGTCCCAACCATTAAATCAACTTAAAATAAATTTCTTTTTCTCAACAGTATGGAGGGTTCCATAGTCCGTTTACCTGAAGTGATTGCCCTTAAGAAGAAGTACAAATCCTATCTGTACCTTGATGAGGCTCACAGTATAGGTGCCCTGGGTCCCAATGGCCGGGGTGTAGTGGATTATTTTGGACTCAATCCTGAAGATGTGGATGTTATGATGGGGACATTCACCAAAAGCTTTGGAGCTGCTGGAGGATACATTGGGGGCAAGAAGGTAAAACACTGGAAATGTCCTGGCTGTTTCACACTGATGGTGGATTGCTTCACTAAGCATTTCAACATTGATTTCTTTCTCAAGTTGCCATGACCATCCATTTGTTTCATAATTTTACATGCTGTCTACTATAGTGAAAGACTGCAATGCGGAAGAGGCTAATAAAATGCCTCTTTTATAGATCCCACGTGGTCAGTGATGAGCTCAGTTTGCAGAATGTACAGTCGGGGTGTAAATTCTTTTTAGGAAGTGTTAGGAACCAGGAAGCAGGGATTTCTCAACATTATTTCTAATGAGACTAGCGGGAAAAATGCCAGAAGCTAAAGTTCTTCAGCTCATCTGGTGGAAAATCCCCTTCTTAGCTCAGCCTGGTGGATTTGGTTCCCTCTGGATTTGAACAGTTTCCTTTTGAAAAATACACTGTTTTTGGATCCTCCTCTATAGTCATGTTCTGCTAGAAAGTGTTGCCAGTTGTCAAACTGCTCCTTTTGGGAGGGGTTGTGTAGGCTGCCCTTTCTTATATCCTTGCCATTTCTTATGTCCTCTACCATTTCCCTTTCAGGACAATAATTTTTTAGATGCTAATAGTGACAATTACTTTAGTCCATCCAAATGGATATGGGACTTGCAGATGCTCCTCTTTAATAGTTTACTGCAGTTGGACTAAAATGACTCTGACATCTTCCCCAGAACAAAGCACCATATTATTCTTTTTCCAAGGCAGTGAGCCAGTGGGATTAACTCCCTTGGCGTAAGGTGAAGCAGCCAGGAGTCCTTCATGGCTGTATTTTAGGAACTGTGTTTAAGAGATTGCTTCAGAAATAAGAGGCCTTAAATCTTCCTACCTGTTTTTTTTTTTTTTTTCAAAATCCCTTTACAACTTCCTTTTATTTAACTCCAATTCCATGCAGACAACAATACGAAATGGAGTATTTCCACATTTTTATAATACGTTCAGTTATACTATAACAGTTATTATGCTATCAACCTTATTAATTTTATGATGGCATAATCTGTCCTGGCATTTGTACTGGTTTTTATGGTACTTCACTGGAGTGGTCTAGCTATTACAGAGGTTTTGTTACAGTTAAACAACAAGCAGCCTAGATCTATGGTATGTTTGTACTTTGTTCCCATATGACCTGTGTTTATCCTCCAACAAATCTAGAAGGTACATTTATCTGGGAAGTGCAGGAGTGGTAGTCTGAGGTTCCTGCACTCTTAAATAAAGCAGGAGATGTAATTTATATTGTGCTGCTAAATAGGAGAAAGTATTTTGTGACCTGTGCCCTGTTTAGTGACTTGTGGGGAAACAATTATATTGAGCATGATACGCAAGTACTCATAGATCCTGCTCCCTACTATTTCACTTGTTTTATATTCCCACTGTTACAATAAACACTCTTGAAACATGGCCTTGCACACAGCTTGAGTAATGCAAACACCTTCTCGCAATCTAATGCTGGTATTGTTAGCTAAACAAGTCTGTCACAGGCATTTGTTTTTGATCAATGGATATTCTTGCTCTGTGACATAATTATGGGTTTTCATGTGTCTACTGTTTGCACTTCAACTGCTTATTACTTATAAAATAAATCCTTGAGTGACCTGTTCTCTTCTAGGACATTCTGGAAGAGGTTCGTTGTAGTAGTGGCTCATTTTACTGTGTGGTTAAAGCATTTCTCTTGAGTGCTGGGAAGGCAATGTCTGATGGCCTCTTGTGTTTTACTAGGAGCTGATTGATTACCTCAGGACGTACTCTCACAGTGCTGTGTATGCAACATCATTGTCACCTCCTGTTGTGGAGCAAATCATCACCTCCATGAAGTGCATTATGGGTGAAGATGGTACAACTTTTGGTGAGTCTTTCGAACACTAGACATGTAGAAGGGGGACACCGAACAGAACCTCTACCTTGCTTTGACAGATAACTCATTCAGTGTACACATTCATTATTGTATGTTACTTCATGTAGACTTTGAGTCTTTGGAGCGACAAAACAATTTGAGATCTTGCTTGGCAAATCAACCTAATAAAGGTATAAAGAATTAATATATACAGGTAAGTCATCTAGTGTTTCACGAGACAGTATTGTCTTTAATTGATTTTTGTTCTGCCTAGCTTTTCTAGGTCTCCTCTTTGCTCTTCCTATTCTTCTGTCCTTTGTTATTTGCCCGTCTTTTTAGATTGTCCACTACAGTAACTAAGACTGCAAAATACACAACAAAATATGCTGAAAACTATGGTTTTTTATTTTCATTTCTAGTATAACTTGATGCTTGCACCTTGGTTAAAGTAAATATGAGGATGTGTTTGAAATTGCTTTTCACTTGAGCTGTAGGAAGTAATACACTGGGGAAGGCACATTCAGATTTCTTGATTCAGGTTTACTTTCTCAAGATGGAAAAAAGGAAGGGGAAACCTGTCTAAGTCTTGAGTTTCAAAGTCAGTAGTTGGCTGAGGATTTCTCCATGTTTTTTGTTTCAGATGCTTTTACAATTCAAGTGCCTTAATATATTATAGGAGTTTCAGGCATCTGGCCACGAGGTGGTGGTGTATACTGAAGAACTGTATTCACTTTTGAACATGGGTCACCTGACCAACTAACCTGACAGATAACTTCAACAGTGAAAAAGTTTGCACAAATAATTAAGAACTCTACTGTTATAGCATGTTTCACTTGATTTGCTTACATTATCTGAGAAGAGGCTTAGTGGCAGCAATAGGTGTTGGTGGTTGCTCAATAGAGAAGTCATTCATGAGGCAAGTACAGCCAGGCAGCAGCTTGTGTCTGTGCTACCATTTAGTTGATGTGAGTTACCTGTACCTGCCAAGCATTGTCCCCAGTAGTGCCCTCAGAACAGATATTAACCAAGCTTCAAACGACGTGAAAAGTTGTGCCAGAGAGCTGGGTTTTGCCATCTTCTTAAAAATGACAGAGCTCTTTCTAGCTAAAGATTTGCCAAGAGTTTGTGGTCTACTCAAGCGTTGCTTGTTTTGGGTTTCTTCCAATATCTGTTTTGCTTAATGAAGTGGGAAGCAAGGAATGTGAATATTCCAAACAGAAACCAGTTACAAACTAAGGTTTGAAAACTAAGGCATTTTTGCCCCTTTCCGAGGCTGCAATGTAATGCTCATTCAAGCTGTGAGAATGGAAGCAACTTCCACTCCAGGCTTTTCTCCTGCTATTCCGACATCAAAATCCATCTCAGCTGAAAAGAGAACCAGATCAGGAACCAATCTGGCAAAAAATGCCTTAAACTCAAAATGCCTTTTTGTTATGTTCTCAGTATGCATGTCAAGCTATATACAAGTTTGGTGCTAAGGAGTACCCGAAGTCCTAGCCATTCTTTCTATTAAAAAAAAAATATGTATTTTTAGTGTTTGAAAGCTGTGTCATTTCAAAGAAGCCTCTGTATTTCACATTTGTGTGAATTTTATTGTTTGTTTTTTTCTCTACAAGAAAGCCAAAATGCGAAGCCAAAGTCCCATCTACTCATAGTCAGGGTTTCTCAGCTACAGCTATCGTGTAAGTCTTACGGTCTGTCTTAATTATCTAACCCATCCTTCAGCTAATCTAGGCACCTCCTAGGATGATCCCTGCCTGAAAGCATTTTTCTGTTCCTTTTTTTTGTGCTGTTCTGTTTCCCAGTCATGTTTTGTTGTTTGTTTGTTTGTTTGTTTTTTTAAATTCTTAGAGACTTTAAGGTAGTAGTACTTCATAGGCATTTTCTTCAGATGAAGTTGACTGAAGTGTAATTGTGTGAATTGAGCAGCTGCTTAGTGACAGCATGACCAAATCTTTCCCTTGTTTAAGGGCTTTTGCTGAAAAATGTCTCTTGATTCTGTGGAATTACGGGTTGGGGCTTTGAAGGACTGCTGTCTGCAATCTGTTTGACCACAAGTAAGTCTAAAGTAGAGTAGTGCTGGTGAGAGGTGTTAAATGTGGAAGGCAAACAAGCAGAGAAATAGTGTTAAGCTGGGTCACTGGTAAGCAGCTCTGAATCAACCAAGTATTACAAAAACTTTACTGCTTTCAAATTAGTCAAGCTGAACTAATGGATGAAAGTAAACTAAGCAAGGACAATGATTTTCCAATGGCACAGGAGTTGGAGCTGGAGTCAGAACAGTAGACATCAGCTAGCTCCCAACCCTGTGTTGATTCACAGCTAACTCTTTTAATGACCTCAGGAATGCTTGCTTGAAAACAGTCTTTGTGGCTACTTTGTCTACTTGTTTCTTTTCACCACATACTACTCATAAAAGTAACCTTTCTCCATGACATCAAGCCTCTGGAAATTGTGGTATCAGATTGAGATGGTCTGTAGATGAAGAATAAGTAGTAGAAAGTAATTCGTTTGAGGACAAAAGATTTTTTATGTATTAATTTGGAATAATAAAGTATTTCTTTTAAATTTCTTCATTTTACACTATTTCTGAATCTAGTGAAATATGTGGAGGCTCTGACCTTAAAGTGTAAAGCACTGTAGTTACTAAAACTTTACATAACTATAAAAGAAAAATATCTACTTTCAGATCTTTCTAGCAAGCTGCCAGTGACTAAGTAAGGTATTTGTAAGAGGCAGCACAGACAAAATACAGATGCTATGAAAAGCTAAGTGGCTGTTCTCAGAGAACGTAGGACTGATAGCATGCCAGAGTGCCACCTGGACTGGGACAGTGGCCTCTTGTGTCGTGATTTCTGTTCAAACTGCTCTGGTAATTCTAGGTGCTGTTGATGCATGTAAGTGACTAGCAAACCTCAGTCTCTCTGAAGACAGATATGGGAACATATTTATACATGAATACAAGTATGTTGCTTGCCCCAGACTACAAAAAACAGTTCAACAGCTGAAGTGATGGCAGAGCCATCTCATGGGTTCTTGGTATTGATACTTCCAGTACTGCTTCTGAAAGTCCTCTACACTATTGGCTCAGTGTTGTATGTTTCTCCTGTTTTGCGTGGCATTACTTCTCTTGCACTTACTTGGCTTGAAGACCGTTGCATGGTCTTGAACAAAGCATACATGATTTGTGCTCAGTTTGCCAACTTCTTCAGCAGAACCATTCTCAAGTGTGGTGAACATCTTGGGCACACAGCATGTCTTCAGGGAACTCTCCAGTGACAGTATACATGGATAATTCACATATCATCGCATTTGACTTTGATATATAGTAGACTAGTGTGAATAGAAGAGATGGGGAAGACTTCTTTGAGGGCATTTCTTTACCGTGAGGGTGACAGTGCACTGGAACAGGTTGCCCAAAGAGGGGGGCTGGACTACATGATCTTCAGAGGTCCCTACCAACCTCAGCCCTTCTACTGTTCATTCTTTCAACAAGAGTGAATTTTTTGAGCTGGTTCTCCACTTCAAAGTCAATATAGCTGAACAGGCAAGTGTTGCAGAAGCTTGTCAGCAGTTCGGTGGATGCTTTCTTTCTCTGTTTTCAGTCACAAAGATGAATGAACTGTAGATGGTTTTATAGATGAACAGGCTTTCTTAACAATAATAGTAATTAAAAAAAGACAAAATAAGCAGCTTTTTGGGGGTCACAGTCAGTATACACAAGGATGACAAAATTGATTCCTGGAATGGGGCTCTGGAAATGTGTAGCAGCGGGCTGCTTGATTGTTACCATTCATGTGTTGTTCGGGTTATTTAAATTGACTGTGGGGAAAATGACCCAGCTCGATGCTTGTCCTGGTAAATTAGACGTTGTTAGGTTTTATGATATTAAGTACTTAATTTGCCTTGATGAATTTTTCAGCCTCAGTTGTTTGATTTGAGTTGAAAGCTGGATTTTTCACTGTTACAAACTCAGTAGGACAGGCAGGTTGGTCGGCTCCATTCTGCCACTTGCGTAAGAGCTAGCAGTATCTTCTGTGCAAATGGGGTTCTGCTTGTATTGTTGGTGTTCAGGACCCAGCCTGTTTGTTGCCCTGATAACATTGCTGGGGGCAAATGGGAAAAAATCATAAAGTAACCAGACTGAGACATGGGCAAATCAAAACATGCAAGATGAAACCGGTCTAGGGACTGGTTAACCTCCTTCAGAGATGAAGCTTAGTTTGCTTTCCGGTGTATTAAAAGCTGAAGGTGAGCATTAAATCTAGGAGTGCTTTAAGTTTGATCTAAAGCTGCATTTGATAATAGCTTGTAAAATAGGTGATCTTCTTCCTTCCGTGTCCGTGGGCATTAACTTAATAATAGTAAATATGTACATTGATGCTTATAACAAGCTTACTGTTGACTGTCTCATTTTCAGGAGAGAAATATCCCACACTCAAACAGTGCAATACTAAAATAGCATGTATAGAATTAGTAGTGGAGAGGCAGGGCACAAGATGACACTTCAAATTTGTTTGAACATTGGCTGCAGCACTGTATAGAAATTGAAGTTTGTTATCCTGCATAGCTCTAATGGTGCAGGCAATGGAGGTGAAAGTTGCATATTCATCCCAGCTGCTAAACTGTCAGAAACAACTGATTTTTGAAGGCTAGGCAGTTAACTGCACATAGCTGGATAGGGATTTGACCTCTTAGCACCTCAGAAATGAAAAGCTTGTAGTATATCTGGTCAATTTTAAGTTTAAAAAAAAAAAAGTTGATTTCTAATCTTGCCATTGCTGCATGGAATAAACTTGAGTGAGTTAAATCAGAAGAGGTAGTTAAACCAATTATAGCCAACAGGAATAAGGATGCACAGCTGTGTTGGCAGAGAACCGAGCCTAACACCAGTTCAGAAGGCTGGGTCATTGTTATACTGTTAATATGCACTGGGAGAAGCATCTTGGAAACAGAACTAAGCCTGGTCTGCGTAAATTCTAGGGGAAGAGAGACTGCAATTAGTGTTCTAA